AATGCTCGCAATGTTTTCGTAGTTTTCATTCCCCATGGCCTCTTCTTTTTCATTTTCAAAACGACCATGGTATTAAGGTCGCAAGAAACCTTGAGGGGTCAAATAAAATTGACTGTCAACCGGTGAGCGAACTGACAACTCCTCAATTGTCTTTCGACCAGGTAGAGATCTCCGAAATGGACGATGCAACAATCCGGAATTCAGAAGAGGATGTGATCGAAGATGTAATTGCTAAGTGTCCGTCACTACAGGCAGATGTGTCTGATGATTTGATCGCCAAATCTCTCACTAATTATGGTGATCGTTCATCCATGGCACCTCAAGAGCCCAAGTGTTCGTGCAATTGTTCCGCATTAGGCATTAAAAACTCATGCCTTCAGCTTCGTAACCTGTCATGTAATCCCCAAGAATCTAATCCCCTCGGTATTCCCCTCAATTTGGAGGACGGCCTATGCCTAATTCATCGGATTGCATGTAGTAAACTGGATATGCGCCTGCGGAAAACGAATTCAGTAGATGGATCCAACACGTCATCCTACGCCCTAAGTCTGTGTTGTTCCCAATCTGGTGTCACTTGTTTTTGTACAGTTGACTCATGTTCATGCATTGTAGCATCGTCAGCTCGCTTAAAGGCATCAACTTCGTGTCAAACCGACGGGTTGTCAGATCCACGTGCAATTGAACTTTTTTCATCATCCGATCCATTTGCTTCACCTGACAGACAACTTACAAACTTGGACGAGAGTTCAATGCTGCCTGATTTTAGTTTCATAAACAGCTTCAGCCAACCGTCTTCATCTCTCACCGAATTAGTGGCTCCAATGCTTGAAACCTCCCAGCCAACATCTGTTATTACTTCGCTCCCAGTTCCGCCAATTGAGGCTCCCTCTCCACCCCCCTCAAGTAGTTTTTTGTTCAACTGTTCTTTCTGTGGTCGCATTTACAGACAAAAGATTCACCTTCGCAAGCATATTATGGCTCAGCACACCAAGCAAAAACCATTTTTCTGCCCTCACTGTTCGTATGCCACCGTCGAAAAGAGCCATTTAACTGTCCACATTAGAACGCACACCGGAGAACGTCCATACACCTGCCGAGTGTGTAATTATTCCTCTACACAAAACTGCACCCTGAAGTCCCATTACCTTCGAAAGCATCCCGAGAGCAAGATTACCTGCGTGGCCTGTGGCGGCGCCTATGTCACTGAATTAGAATATCAGAATCACCTGAAGAACTGTATGAATTCCAACGGGCTTTTGTAATTCACTCTGCTTGCTTCTATTCACACCGGTAGGCCCCTTCCATCAGACCATTACATGTTTGTATTTGCTACTGATACACACAAGCGCTTGAAAATTCCAGATTTATATGACTTAAATGTGTATTAATGATTTGGTAGAAGTTAGATACAGTTGTGGTGCGGTCAAATTTGCTTTAGAGCATCGTAGATATAGGATAGCCGTGAAAAAGTCGTACTTTTGTTTGCTCATTAAGCACCTCCTTTCCATGTCGGTGGCTCAAGAAAGGGATTTGCCTTGCTGGATTTTGTCGAAGTAAGTCAGCTCCATTCATTGCATTTGACTCACTAGATCTCTGTTCATTGTTTGCGCAATCCAATTTTATTTAGTAATTGAGTCTTTTGGGTAGCTGGAATTGTGATTCGGCCTCACAAATGATTTGATTTCTTGGGTTTTACACATGAAATCATGGCAAAGTTAGTCTGGTGGTCGTGTAGATCACGCGTTGCCACGATTTGTCAGTTGTAACCGTTACCAGCAAAGACGATGACAGAATAAAATTCTTGTGTTCCTCAGAAACTGGGGACTGATATTTCTTTTCTGGATAGCCGCTCACGCGACTAGTGTCAATTGTATTATCATTTCCACCTGTGTTGATGACAATGCCGAGGCCACTTGTAGTGTCGATAGTTTGTTCAGTATTTATCGATTTGATCTAAACGCATTTGTCCGATTACCAAATGTTGCTTTAAATGTCATTAATCTAGCGTTATTTCGATTCACATAAAATATCAAATCAGACTAGTGCTTTTGTACTGATGGCCACCTCTCATGGCGGACGCTAAACTTCTTCATATGTTACACTGAGTTGATTTTATTATTTTTTTTAATATCCTAAAATAGCTCACTCTACTTTCGACGCTGAAACCCATCCCTGGTATGCTAGGCGTAAAATTCCAGTGTGGCTAATTTCGTCCCTCAAGTAGGCTTCCGCTTGGGACTCGGTTAGTGAGAGATCAACGAATTCGTCTGCACCTTCCCTGACGGATCCGAGTGCAGTGAACCGCATCGCAGAATATCCAGACAAATTCATGCGCCAGTTAGCTGAATGCTTTGCTATGATACGCTGCCGGCATTTGGTTCTATAAATGCTGCGTCTTCGCAGATACCAGCGAAAAATCGATGGTCAAACTATCTTTGATCTGATACGGTAATATAACACTGAGTGAAGCCTTCTAACCCCTTCTCTCTCTCTCTGGATCAGATAGGTTTACCTGTTCAATTGGTGCGGATAGTTTACGATGCCATTTCGGTGCGTCTAGTCGGTGCACTTGAGACATGACTTACAAAACGTGAAATTCCTTGTCATCCAAGTGCCCTGCACTTATTTACCAGAAGTTAACATCCGGTACCAGCAGGTTTAGCATGCGCGTTGATTTCACGTGTTCCGATGTAATATCTGGTAAACCCTAGGCCTCTCACAGTAAAAATTTTTTTGAATTAGTTGAAGAGGAAGAAGTACGATGTTGACTCACCACTGAGACAGTAGTCAGGTATAGAAGTCGTCGCATAATTTGCATTTTACCAAAGTGTACAAATAAGCTAGTTTGGTGCATGTAATGCATTTCCTCAAACCCCTCCAGCTGATTAACGTCTAATTTTGCCGGCTACGCAGAAAAGACGACTATTTTTATTGCGACAGTTGTTACGTTGTAGAAGGAATTTCTGAATCGTTCCATCGATGAAACCTGGAAGAGTTGAGTATTCCCTCCCAAGCTTTAACCAAACACGACCTCCAAGGCCTTATTGCCAAAGTCCTTACCCAGCAAAAAAAACATGTTTTTTGTTTGAAGGGAGATTGGATTTTCGGCCTCGGTGTCTGTCGTACACTTGGAGGAGAAGTTTTAATCGAACACCTGAAAACGTGGGTGCCACATATCAGCGAGTTAACTTGGGCAAACTGCTGCGAACAGCCCAAGTGGAACACTCCTCACAACAGAAAACTGCTTTATTAATCACGAACTCTCTTGGGAGCAGCAACATTTTCAAGTTCAGTTTTTGATCGCTTGTTTTGTGATTTGTATGTGGTGCTTTTTGAAGTGGGGATAAGTACTTTCTTCGGTTCATGGGAGCTATGCTTTTACCAAATTTTGTTCACCCTTAGTCCACAGGCCTTTTTATATTGTTAGTAATGGCTAGGACTTAGTGAGAAAACTTGTATCGTAAAACATTGTTTTGTAGAGCTTGTGCCTGGTTTTGCAGTTTTTTGCCAAACCATTTCATCACCATCTTCATCACAGTTAGGTTTTTTTTAGAAAACCTGCTCATTATGCATCTTTTAAGTTTGTAAGTTTGAATTTTTCAAGATAGTTTGCACGTGTAATCAAGATCCCCCAAATGTTATTGAATAATTAATCTGACCCCGCATTGTCTGGAAGCTTGAGAATTTCAACTCATGCGCTAATTGGCTGCAGGATCAGAGTCTGGCTGCGTTGCAGTGCAAAATTTAGACAGCACGTTTTCACTTTTAGCGTCATTTCGCTGACAACTAGCTGTCAGTGGAGCCAAACACCGAAAACCCACCTATCCGTAGTTGCTCCAGAGATGCTCTTATCCTCGAATTTTGCTAATGCTCGGGTCCTCACACTGAACTCATGCCTTTGCGACAACGAGAGGCGGAGTGTAATGCACCTAGCGAGTGGGGACCTAAATAGGTAGATGACTGTTAGCCCGTCCCTCTTAGATAGCCACACCATTATGGTTAGCTAACAGGCACACGAGAGAAGAATAACTGGAAGAACCGGATGTATTCCATACTACTGCATACAAATTCAGAGGGCTAGAGCTTAGGGAGAGTTAGAGCGGGGAAAGGGATGACCGCAAGGAGGGTCGTCGTTGCCCTCAGACTCACGGGCGTGCCTTGAAGAAGGCGAGAGTGTGGGAGGGAAGAAGAAGACAAAGAACAGGCCAGACCGGCGTGCGTGGGTCTAATGGGGCGCGTTACAGGAGTCGACCGACAAAGGCGTTGTTTCGTTGGACAAAACTTCAATGCATTGGTGATTTGCATAAATGCGTCCCGTAAATTAAAACGCGGAAGCAGAACTATGTTCATCATCCATCGTCTTGAATGTTTATCGTTGGAGTAAGGGTAGCAGCAAAAGACTCATGGAAGACAATAATGAACAACCATAATCCATTTCACGTGGCAAATCCAAGCCTAAATTTTCTGAGGTGCATAATTACGAAACCCAAATAAGTGATTATGAACGACGCGTTGTGCGTACAGCCTTGAATGCAACTCCAACTCAATAAATCGGTATAAACTGATAATTCTTACTAGTAAAATGTAGGCAAAAAATGTGAACATTTTTCTGGTAAATCGATCGATTTTGAGCAATTCGCTATGTTCCCAACTTTCAATGTAGGTCAGGTGTTTAATTTAAAAGGCGAAATGAACGTCAACCGCAATGTTTTGCGACACAACTGCACTAAAAGGCAAAGCAGCCACGGAAATAGGGGAAGAACACGAGCGGGATTTTGTGCGTTGCAGCTTCGTCCTGCTTTCGAATCACGTTTGCTTTGTGTCCGTTTGGCCAATAACGATTGGGTAAATTTTAGTGTGGTCATAGCTTTTGTTTGCACAAGAATGGTCCAATTTAGCCAGCTGAATGCCAGGTCAAACACTCGAAGTAGCCGGTATTACTTGAAAGACCAGGTTTACCCTCAAGACAGACGGCCACTTTGATTAATATCCTCTGTTAATAATAATTAACAGTTAATTCTACGGATCTAGAAAGGCATATGCCGCATTTGTGGTAGTGCATAGGTTTTTCCAGCGTCTTCTCCGTCTAAATGCTGTCCTATTCACTTTTTTAAAAAAACGCGAATCGTGAAAAGTGTATCAATGCATAGGGGAAATGTGTACTTGTGTTGCACAACCGGTTCAGGTCAGCATCGAGTTACCGCTGCCATCAGTATCCAATGACCTTAGACGAGTGCTCTTAGGCAATGCACTTTTGCTTTGTAGTGTATTTACTATAACGAATTTCGGAAGCAGTCGACAATTTCGTCGCAGTTTATGCCTTATTGAACTTAGTTCTGCAACGTCACAATCAACTGTTAGTATTCAAATACTAGCCACACCTACACACTGTCATAGTTGTGGAATATACGCTACCAGATCTCTATTTCAAGAGCTACTACTGCCAGTATCTCTCCTTTCAGGATAGTTGATATTTCCGCCAAGATTTGCATTTTCGGGAAAGTGACCTGACCCTGGCTTGACCCCTGAAGAATGACTCTACTTGAGCCATTCTTGTGTGTTTAAATGAAAGTACTTAATAAAATCAATACCGGCATAATTGATTATAGACAATAGCGGCTTGAAAGTAGGGCTAAACTGCGATGGGCTAGTTTTGGTCCTCGATTTTCCTTCGGCAAGTGCATCCGTTGAATCGTCTGATTGGTTACCTTTCTACTGGCCAATAATGTTTTCTGACACAATACGGCACGATGTATCTGGCTGAAAATATGAATATTAAAGGCGATGAATTTCTGGTTTTTGATTGGGCCCTCAGGCGTAGGGAAATATTTAGGCGTTAAATTGTGTGAAGGTTAAGGATTGGAGTCACTGTGAGTGAAAACAACGATGAACGCCGTCGTAAAGGGTTAAGAAACGCGTGACAGGAGAATGTATGGCTGTGAAAGGAATATAAAGATTTTGCCGACTTTCGAGAGACTGTCTCCTTGTGGCTGCGACATGATACCTCAATTTGTTCTACGCATACCAAATGCTGAATCCTTTAGCACCTCGACCGCAGGAACCTGTTTCTCTTGTTTTTTGTGCATTAAGGTGTCAATTAAGAGTATCAATTCAGGTTGTTGTATGCTGCCATCATAAATTTTGCCCTTTTGTGTCGAGTTTAGTTAAAACCTCCGATCGGTCGGTTTCCAGGAGGTTGAAATCGTGCTAAACCTCGATGTTCTCGCGATTCCTCATCCCACCTACCAAACAGAAGTGCATTTTTATTGCCTAGGCCATCAAAACGCCTAATCTTGTGCAGTCTGACTCGTACACGCGAAGAATACCCCACTCAAAAGTACTTTGATAAAAACTTTGGAGACTGGTCGTGCAAAGTTGCACCGACTTGGCGTTGGTGCCTCTGGCGAAATGCTCCAGCACACTTTGGTGTCCCAGGCACTATACTGAACGCCAGCTAGATTACAGCCAAATTACGCTTTACGCCAACACTTGCGGACTGCAATCTAGGAGCGAAATTGGCTCTGGTAATTATCACCGTAGTTCCGGTCACGAGGAAGGATTTAACCGATTTGAATTCTTCTATTATTGCCTAAGCAACCTATAAAATAAGGCAGAATTAAAAAAGTGTTTAAGTATTATCTCTACATAACCTTAACTGACGCGTACTAGCAATTGCTAAATTCTGTTTTTAGAAGTCTTACAGCATTAATTAACCTACAAATCGTAAAATGTCCAGCAATACTTGTGCCAGGGTGATTCATGGAATCGGCTGAGTCGGTTCGGGTTGGACTTAACCAAAGTATCAAGGGGGCGATTACGAGTATCCTCTTAAAGTTCATGCAACTAACGAGAATTCATGAGGGAGGCAGAAGTATTTCCCTCCATCAAACCACCGCACACTGTCGTAATTGAGTTGGATCCACGGTTCTTGAATTGTATGAAGGGCAAACAGAACACTTTTTTTCAGATAAAGATGCGACATTAGCAATTCAAATTTCGAATCACATAAATCAGACCTCAAATGACAGTTATATGTGTTGGGCAGAACTTCCCACCGCGGTCGGTAGATTTTGTAAAGAGGATGTCGTGTAGGTAGGTGTCCTCTTTCGTGCTGACGTTTACTGAAAAATCCCCTGCCCCACATAGGGCCACTTTCATATGACTGCTTGAGTATTAAATATGGTCAATTAAGAATGTGCACACATGAGATTGGTGCTACAAAGTGTTCAGGGTAATTGACAGTTAATCTCGCGAAAACGCCTGGCGTTTTTTCTCGGATAATTTCGTATCTGTTGAGATAGAACTGTCCAGATATTGCAGTGCCAACAACTGAATACCAAACGTCCTCTTTCACGGAATGCCGGACGCTAGGTGTGGGGGGAGGGAATCGAAGCTTTTGGTTCAAAATGTCTGCAGCAAATTGATTGTGCGGCTTGATGGAAGTCAGGCATTGTTCTTGTTAAAATCAACTAGTTGCGATTATCCAAATCACCTCAGAATTCGTTACCCTAACCACTGAACCCGAGTGTCGGGTTAGAGCTTGTACAACAACTTGCCATTTCTTCAACTCGCGTAGCATTATTCTAGTGTTGTGGAATTTAGCTGAGACATCTTACAGCGAGACATGTACACAGCCTCACGTGAATTAAGGCAACTGGATTCATCACCCTCAGTGCTATAGCGAGTAGACGTACGTACCCACACACACAACCCCAATAAGACAGGTAGGTCTGACTTGAAGGTCTTAATGTTCACCTCCTCGTGGGTGGGAAATGCGTGACACGGAATTGCATAATTGTTCTTGCAAGGAATCTGACCGAACTAATTTGCATGGCAATTAAAGTAACATTGCGCCAGACAGCGACACTCCTAAGCAGGCGACAGAATTACTAGATTTCATAGATGTGGTTCCCAACATCTAGGCGCTTTGTCAACACGAGAGACCAACTGCATACAGCCCTTGAGACGACGAATAGACGATCCACTGTATGGCGACAGACAGCTGGTTTTCGCTTTGATGCAGAGTAATACCACAGAGGAAATGATAAAAGGGACACCCGTGTGCGATCTGTGTGAACTGCAAATGGAACCAGTGTACACGATTTCGACCACATTCACTGGCAGTAGATAGGGGTTTACAGAACGTAAGGAATGAATGAATGTACTGATCGCGCACTTTTAACAGTGAACGTCACGATAACAATTACCCAGTCAGATGCCCAAGCGCATGGAGACTCGTTTAAATGACACCCCGCGATAATTGAAAAAAAGCACAATCTTTTAGTAAAATAAAAATGAGTATCTTAATTTATCGTCTTCACGTACAAAAATGGGGTCGGAACAGTTACGAAGTACTCTCGTCATCGTAGATGTCAAGGATGTTCACGGATTGCTCCCTGGTCACCACACCGTTCGAGGTGAAGTTGTACTTGGAGTAGGAGCCATCAGCCGCAAGAGCTGCAGTAAAAAAGGCACCGAGTAGGCAAACTTGCTGCTTAAATTAATTAAGTAGCAATATGTTTATATTTTCATAAAACCTACCAACTAGTGTGTCCGGATTGGATGGACTGAATGCGCAGATGGCCTTAGATTTCGTATCTAACGGAAACCGTATTTGACTGGATGTGGAAGAGAAGTACCACGGTAACAAGCCACCAGATCTAAATGCGAAAAAATGAATATAGCTGAGCTACTTATGCAAAAGCAGCCAATCAAATTTGCGTTGTTGAGGCGAGGAAAACGCTAATTGTAAATATTAGGCCGCAGTTGGCAGAATCCGCTTCATTTCAGCAAATACATATAAAGTGGCACAAATACATATTTACGCCAACAAAACAGGGATATTTTGGTCGTAATGCAACGCAAACGAGCGATAGGCATCAGCATAAACATCGATGCCAGATTCTTTCGACCCAAGTGACATGTCACAAGTTACAAGGTTAATTATTTTAGATGCGTTTGAGAGTTAAGTGGCAGGTACTTTTTTTATTAGAGGACTGCGAGACAACTGCGCAAATTCAGTGACCTTCAGTTTATCCACAGTGGCATTCGCAGATTCAGAGTGATGCAGACCTAAACTACACACACACACACACACACACACACATTCGTTTGAGATCAGGACAAGGGGAAATCCCAGACCAACACCACTACAATTGGAGACTAAATTCGTAAACCTCAAACAATCGATGTAATGAAGGCACATCTTGCATCATCGCAACAAATTTGCACTCAACGAGAAGGAGTCAGGCGTCAGTAGCAGAGTCTCTAGAGGAAGAGGCAAGTCTGCTGTTAAGACGGACGGAAGTGCGTGTCTATGCAGAAATGGCACCGCACAACGCATTATGGGGTGGGGTGGGGTAGGGGAACAGCTAGCGAGTGAATCTTCGCGCCCTTCTTACATGCTTGTTTCGGAGTCAATCACAGAGAAGCACTGTGGCTCGCGTGGCTTTTCGGTCTGCGTAAACACGCCTTGCAGAGAAGTTTGTCTAAATTGTTTTGTATCACTCATCCTGGAGGCTGACGGTAATACCACCACGCAAGGGTACCATGCATCAGCCATGATTGATTGTGTAAAAAGCAAATTTCACTGATGAGGAGGTGTCTAGGCGCCATTCTCAACACATCGACTTGATAGGAAAGGTAAAATATCGGCTACCGGGTAAATAAGAGATCGGAACATCGGCCACAATGCCCAAGTTGAGTGCTCAACAGTACGCAAGTTGGGTGATAAGGTTGGGATACTGGGTAGTGACGAACAAATGGACTGATCGGGGCAAGGCGAAAACGCGATCTGCAGTACTTCATGTGAAAGGCAAAAAATTGCGTGATGGTTATCATCCATGGTGGAGTAAGTATTGCGGATGATGCACATTAGTTTGGAGACGTAGGGACTACGCTTGAGGGTGCAAATCGTCGACATACAGAGAGACTGAGCGGCATGCACACAGCCCTACAAGAGGAACCGCAACTGTTTGCGTTGCGGCAACACAGTGCCACTAGGTAGTGCATTTAAAAACAAACAATTTCAAAAACATGATGATGTAAATAGCAAATTACTGCCCAAAATAACACTGGGCAAACCACAAGCTGCCATTTGTGAATTTTCGGTTTGCTAAAAACTCCGTCAGTGTGAGATGTGAAGACGATTTTCACAACACTGGACTCGAGGCATCATGTTTGCCACCCCGAAGAGGCGAATTTACGATTGTCCAGGTGGTGGTTAGTAGTCACATTTCGTTCGTGAAATTTGTATCCAACTGAAACTGAGCAAATTTGCAGGTCTGGTGAAACCGAAAGTGTGGTGTTAGCACCTTCACGTCTGCAGTCTTTCACAACTGGGCTAATGCCACTGATGGCGCAGACAACTGCATCTGATTCTCCATTGCAGGTTTGTTAGCCACGGCGGAAGGCAACAGCTATAAAGCGTGTGATTTAATTTTGCAAGATTTTTTTTAGCAAATCTGCTTGATTTAAAAAAGTGCAGAACCAGGGGCTTAATCTCGGAAATATTGTCCATCGTCTTCAATGACCACGCGTACGTACGAATGCCGTCGCAAATGAAACCTGCAGATTTCGAGGCAATCAATTCATAAACGAATTTACACGTGTCATCCAGCGTTTTGAACTTTTTATCCGCTAAGGCGCGCTGCTTCTACCAATAAAAAGTGCATTTGGATGAGGCCAAGTCTGGTGAATATGCCGCGTGTGGGAGAACTTCCCATCCCAAGTTCAGGAGGATCTTCTGAGTCGTGCAAGCAACGTGACGCGGTCCAGTGTTGTCGTTCAGCAGCAGCATGACTTGCCTACTTCCTTGCCCAATACATGGTCTTTTCTGATCAAGTTGTTCACTCCACTTCTTCAATTATCGGCTGCAGCATTTCACAGTCACCGTCTGGCGACCCGTCTCCAGGAGTTCGTCATTAAGCACACCCTTCATTTTTACCAGGTGCACAGGAGAACCTTCTTCAAGTGGATGTCCAATTTCGGCGTCGATGTACTAGGTTGCCAAGGATCTACCCACGACGTTTGACGTTGGGCATTTCGGTAAAAAAAATACCCTATTTACCACTCTTCACAACTTCCCACAAGCTCTTTATTGTCGCCGGTGGGCGAGCAGTAGAAGGTATGTGCGGTTGTGTTCGGTCAACACTCTCAATTTTCAGAATTTTTGTACATTTGGCGCAAGCTCTCGGAAATAACTGTTTGGGTGACTCCTAACTGAGCTGCAAGCTCTTGTAGCGTCTCCGCTGAGTCCTTATCCAGTCGAGCTTGCGGTTGCACATCTTCAAAGTTCCCAGACTGGTGTCCGAGGCGCGGCTGGTCACTAAGATCTAAATCACTACTTCTAAAAAAACGTTTTGCCAAGAATCACACGTTTCCAAAGGCCCAACATCGGCATCATCAACAACACAACAGATTGATTCGCGTGCCTAAGAAGCATTTAGTCCTTGTTTGAATACAAATACAGTGCAACGCCGAATGTGCCATTTATTAGTCGTCAAAGTAAACTTCGCTACTCGAAAGAGGTTATTAAGGTTAAGGATATTTGACGTGTGGTGTTCTGAAACCTCGTGTCCGATCCTATTAAAACCACAAAAAACTGCGGCAATAGTTCTATTCTAAATATAATTGTAACCTCGAAGAAAAAATTTTCAAATATTAAGTCATACCTCCCAAAAACTAATAGAACGGTGGACAGAGAGAACTAACTACCGTGTGAACAGCATACAGAAATTTTGTGTTATTGTTTATGCAGACAATTCTGGACTTCAGGCGTCCATGTTCGGCTGTTTTTCTCAAGAAAAATTTTCAGAATACATAAAACTGGAGTACTGAGTGTTCAACACAAACACAAGATTTCTTGATTCAAAAGGGCGAACATTTAAATGGAAATGAACACAATAATTGTTTGTAAGGCCTAAGAAATCAACAAGCATTACAATGACGTTAAATCATATGTTAATTGGTGCTAATTTTTAATTCATCTAAAACCCTTTAATTACACGGTAACCAAGGGGTCTGCCTCCCAACTACATGGAAGGCATCAATATTGCATTACAGTTAACACTTTCACACCAAGGGCATCCCTAGAGCAAAAACTTTCCCTTTTCAATGCTCCGTCAGAAAATTAACGAGGCTATTTGTACAATTGTTGAGGCCTCGGCTTAGTAGTAATATCACGGCAAGAATGTTTAATTTTAAAAAGATAATAACCCTGTCCGTGAGAAAATGGGAACAAAAGATGCCAACCGAGCCATCATTCACTAATATCCTCGAACAAAGCGGTGTCTCATCAAGGAATATTCAACTTGCTTGTTATGTTGCGCCACCTGTCTTGTCGAATCCTGACCGATTCGTTGTTTTCCAGATGTCACATTTGAGGTTGAAGAGGCGTTTGCTTTAGCTGCCGAATCAATGTAAAAGACGTGGACTGTTCCGTGATTGCTCGTAACAACCACCTTAGAAGCAGTTGCGTCGAAGCAAATGGATGTGATGAGAGCTGAATTTGAACCTCTTCGTAATTCATGCAGTAACTCGCATCCCCTGGTAGAAAAAACACGTATTAAAGTCCCCCGCTGCGAGGCTGTGGCCAGCAATTCGCCGTCAGAATTCATTGTAATGGCAACGAGTGGATTATTGTGTGCCAGAATCTGTCGCGGGGGTGGAGTATTAGTAACGTTCTCTTGATCACCAGGTGATCTAGTGGTTGCGAGGGTCACAGACCCAACGCGACGCCCAGGAAAAGCGATCAGAGGGTAGTCTGCATGTTGGCAGACGTGACACAGACCAAAGGGATTAGAGGAGGTTTCGGACTGATAGACTAGCTCAGGAGAAGCGCCAAATGTGTAGACTTTAACGGCGTTTGAAAGAACGACCACAATTCTAAGGAAATCACGAAAACAAAACGTTAAAATAACAACGATAATAACAACAAGTTTTCTACAAATTAATATTATAAAAAGGCGCGATCAATTAGGAGCAATTAAAATCTGACATCGACTAAGATAATAACGCAAATCGGCCATGATAACCTGTTCCAAACCCTAACTTGTTATATCTAACCTCTATATTTTTGTTGCTATTCACAGCCAGTTCAATGAGCTCCTCTATGGATGAAAATTAACAATAGAGTGCATAGCTTTGCATCTCTGATGTAACAAAAACAGGCTGGCGCAAATTTATTTCGTTTAGTTGCTGATTTTTTCCTACGTAGTGAGCACAAAATTTCCTATGGTATATTTGATGAAAAAATCCTTATAAGGCCTTAGCATAGGATACAAGTATTGTAAAGCATCTCAAAAATAGATCAGCTGAAGGATCGTGAAAATAGTTGACATGGAAGTATAATAAAAAATAGTTTGAAAAGTCTGTTGAATAAGACTAATGCGACGTACTGATCTCTACGTAGTCGAATGGCACGGACATCACTGCTGTAACCAAGTTCAAGAACGAACTTCTGTTCAACGCCATCCCAAAGGCAGGCAGTGTTTCCTGGTATTCGTGATCGATGTCCTCCACCAAGCAAACCAAGAAAACTGGTGCGAAATAGCATTTCAATAAAACCTATACCAGTGCCATCACGGACACTAAATTCTAGAAACCCAAAAAAGCAATAGCTCAGACTTTTAACAAGATAAGACTCGCGACAAAGTACTCAGCTGAGAGTGAACTTACCACATTTTTCAAGTTGTTTTAAGGGATCTGTGTTAAATATCCGAAAACCATTCTGCATGCCAATGGCAAAACATCCTGCAGAGACTAGACACTTGTTTAAAAAACAAACCATAATCCTGATTAAACCCCATAAATATTATTGAGTTATTTCCATTTTCTGCAGGAGGCAACCTTATGGACATAATTTGCAATCTTGCATTCCAAATATGCCGCCAATTAAATTTTCACACGATCACCTGATTTGCCATTGAAAGCACACTTAGATGTATGATGATAATATCAAATAATTTTAATGCAAAACCCCCAAAAGTGAGTGGAAATTTAATAATTTGTCTCCCTTTAGTAATGTTAGTTTGGGTTACAGCTCAATGAAATAGGTTTTAGAAGTCGGACTTTTTTGCCTCTCTTTTCTCAAGATGCAGTTTTCAATCGATACTTGAATGCGTCAAGTGTTCCGTTTTTTAATATTTGTTTTCGAAAATTCATTTAATTACAAGTGGCTGTTGCTGCTCGTATCAGTCATGATCTTTTACACTTCAGCTATGACGTGGGTAAAAATACTGATCGCCTAATCTACGCATAAGTGGAAAATCGTTTAGGCAGATCGTCCCCTTTTCCAATAATAGATCTTCTGGCACATACCAAGAACGATCCATAGTTTGAGCACGTTGGTCACCTATTCATCGTATTTTCGTTACTGCAAATGTTTTCTTAATGCAGTTAGCCAAACCACATATTTATATGTAAAGGACTGCCCAAAATTCATTGACAAATTTTTGGACAACGAATTGTAAGTAGAATAAGAAAAACGTATTCCCTCCTGTTAAAAGTACGTGCGCCTTTTTATTTTACATCAGTTAGAGATAGGTCCCAATCTGACCCACACCAAGCAACTTCTAACACATTAGAAGGGATCCGTTATCCGACAACTGTTAACTGTAGTAATATTTGTCCATATTTGCAGTGATTTGGAAAACGCCCAATTTCAGTACATGGAGGTACTGCTAGCATCAAGGACCTACACACATGTTATCACACTCCTCAATAGAAGAACCTGTGCCAAACACGTGCTGAATGGTAAAATAGAAGGTAGCCATGCAGGCGAAAAATGATATAAACTCACTAAATACAGGAGATTTCGACATTTTATTTGTACAAACAAATCTGATTTTGAAATAAATGCAAGCAAACGAAAATCAATCAGAAGTTTGTCCATTCATTAAGTTGAGAGAACTCCGCGATTCTACAAAAAACACTGATTGGTAAAGGAGGTTAAATTAAGAGAAAATATATTTGAGCATTCTTTACCTAAATTTAAAACGAGATCGTCAAGTTGTGAAACCTTTTTTTCCATAATGGAGATTTGATCCAAAATCGGATCTAAGATTTGAAGTTGGTTGGAGAGGGCAACACCTAAGGGGAACGCGGAGGTCATCAGTCAAAATTCGAATAACCAGTTCTGTATAGATGAAATCAGGAAACATATAACGCGGAATAGCCACTAACGGGCAGCTTCCGACGAAACAGAAGGCAACAACTTTGTAAAAAGTCGTCCTGCCTTAATTTAATTTTGACACACAATTTATCAGAAAATACTGAAATTGCTCACATTGGGCGTTTACTGGAGTTATCCCCTCAGTGAAGCTTTTCGTAGTTTCTGCAATCTTAGCATATTTCTGCAGAGCGGCTTTGTTGAGGTCATTCAAATGGGAAATCCTGTCGGAATTTACTAAAAGATAGTAATACGAAAATGGAGATCCAAAGTTGATTAGCAAATCAGGATGTCTAAGGAAATCAACAATTAACTACCTGTTTATTTTAAGAAGCCTTATGAGAAACTTGATGCGTCTAATGGTATGACTCCAAGTAGGTCAAAATCTTCCAATATTTAGTAAAATAGTCGTTAATTTTAGGAACTCGGTATGTATTCACGAAGTCGAGTAGGACAACTGCAAACACAGTTAACTGTGTTACCTTCATCGTTTACCTTAATGCATGTGAAGCGTGGCACCTTAATAAGTGTTCGATTGAACCATTGCAAGTTACTTCATAGTCAGTTTCACAATCAAGTAGCTAACCGAGATTTTTATTGCATATGCTAAGAGAAAGCAAACCAAGCATGACTGCAATATTTGCAAGTAAGACATTAGGCAAATCAAAACTATCTAAATGAATAATAACTTGCCTTCTAGCGCTTCATGAACGTAGTTAGAGACGGCATCAATAGCATCTCTGGTAAGCTTTCCCAGGCACACCCGGTTGGCAGTATCAACAGACGGTTCGGTCATTTCAATGAACCAAAAGGGTCCTAAATTCAACCAGAAGCCTTTCTAATCTTTCTTAAAGTGTCTAAAGAGCAAGCAAAGAATGTTTCCTAAGCAGACAACTATTTCTAATGCATGTTAACGTACTACTTCTGGGCTTTTTAGTGCTAGGAAGGCTGAAAGTTACCCGAAAGATTAGTCAAAGCTAGCCATTTCCGAAAAAAATACATGAGATTGGTAATTAGATTTTAGTATTTCTAGAAGAAGCCACACAAGGCCCTCAAAATGACCACGGTGTAAAACTGTGTTGAAACCTTCTGACCAACAAGCTGCAGTGAGAGAAATTGAAATCAAAAGACCAGTTCACGAAAAAACCAACGTCGAGTGGACTTAAAAAAAAACAACTGAGTGTGAATAGCGTGGGACCTTGGACGATAGTAGAGAAGAGGCCAGAAACAATAAACGAGCGGTAGAAAGAACAGCTACAGGGGAACGCTGGATACACGTCCGTCCATGATGAGGAGTATTTAAAATACTCAGGGGTCTACCAAAGGAGAAGGAAGCGTGGTGCAATGGCCTGGACCTTGCTAGTTATAACTGCGTGTATACAAGTTCATAACGAGCATACCTTATCGAATCGTAGCTAATGACGAAACACGGGTTTCGCGAAAGAACCCAAGGAGTAAAAAATAAGTACTATAAGAATTAAGGAAATTCAAAATAGAGAAGTACATTATTATATATGCCTGTAGCTGAGGCGTCGCAGACATTGATGTACCCATTTCAAGCGAAATGTATGAATCAAACGGATGTAGCGCCTAAGTATGCGCATTTTCCGAGAGATAATTTTCAACCCATTCTAACTAGAGAGTTGTGACTGCAATGTGCACCTTCTGCGTTGACATATGCAACTGTTTCATTCAAAATTGTGCTTAGCGGATATGACCCGACTTTACGATCACCTAGTGGCATGGTCGCACTTACACAGTTGCAACCGACTTGACGAAAACCTACAGTTCGCCAAGTAGGACTACCTGTTTGAGTATGACACAAGCCCTGTTGCGACGTGTTTCGGCTCAGGCTGTGAAGAGCGCGCTGACCAAAAGTGGAAGGACGGACTGTAACTAGCAATCTTGTCCATTCACAAAAGCACGTCAGCCCAGTTGCCAAATGTTTTCATGTTCCTTCAAAGACCGCAGACCACTCCATGAAACGAATACAGGGGTGGGGGCAACATTGATAAGAGAACGTTGGAATTGATCGACTCTCGGTGGAGAAAAAAAGCGAGTTTCCTGAAAACTGCAGCATCATTAAGACGTGTCAAACTAGACACAATCACTGAATACATTGGCACACAAAATCGGCTTCTGAACTGGTCCCAGAGACCGTCTAGATCAGTGATCCCAGCTGTGGCCTTGATAACGCGAAGAAAGCTTTGTAGGACAGTAATCAAATCTGATTTCACATTAGGGAGACACAATTTTTGTTTAAAAACTCGCATTTTAATGAACCTTAAGTTTTTAAACCAAGGCATTGGAACCCATCAGACTCCATGATGGTAATGACAGTCTACTGAGTCTTCGAGTCGTCAGTTGGCACACACAAAACTGCAAACAAGAGGGCCAGGAAGAGTGAGGTGAAACATGATGGAGGCGAGCACACAACCCCGGCCTTCAAAATCAGGACTACGGAGTGAAATAAATAGGCAAAACCAAAAAGGCTAACAGGCGACACTGAAGTGTGCGCTCCTTGCCTCAGCGTTGTCCAATTCGGTGAAAGACCAAGCCCCATGAAACCTCGCATGGGACCCATTAATAAATTATTTGCATCAGTATGATGATGTGCCAATCGTGCGTTATGGGAGTGCCACAGCTGAAACCCAAATCTCTGGTTCCTCACAACTACCAGATGTTGGGTGAAGGAAAGTGAGAATGCATTCAAACGGCAGTCAATCAAGCACACTTGCAAACAGGACGATTCGATCGGATTTTATTGCAATGTAATAGACTGTACAGGTGGCGAAATAATTTAGCCGAAATTCATGTCCGTTGAGCATCGTCTTGAGGTTCAGCAGGCGCGTGGTCCTCGTCCTCCAGTTTAGTCTGGTCCTCGGCGGCGATCGCCTGCTCGCTCAGTGTGGCCAGGGCGGCGGCTATCAAGGCGTCCGACTGGCCTGGATTTTGCTTGTCGTACTCGGCCTAAAATATTGCAAGCAAGTAGCCCGAGGACTACGACAAAAGTGTCTTCCGTTTAGCTCTGTTAAATTACGTGTTTACACGATGACAACTTGTGACAACACTGATTGGCTCCTTGAACAGGTTCGCATGGGGCGCATTATATGACATTACTCATAATGAATGGACGCATTCGAACCTAGTAGACGTTACGTAACTAATCTCACGTAAGATGACGTGGTTTAATCGCCTGACACCCAATGGTTTAGTAAACAATTGCAATTTGAGATTTAAAAAGATCCAAAAACGGGGAGCCTTACAACCAAACAACACGAGAAAGTGCTTGTGAACGAAAAGGCATCAAAACACAAGGTTTCACACCTTTAGTGCGTTTATAAGGGCCTCAGCTTTGTTGAGTTGCTTTTTCAAAGTGAAGAGACTGCTTTGGACACCATCCAGGTCCGTTGAGGATTCTTGGAGGACGGCATCCAGTTCTTTAAAGAAAAAAACGCTACGTTTATTTAAAAAAGGAATAGGAAATGATTTAGTCAATGCTCAATATGATCCAAGTTATTAATAATAGGTGATCCCTAGCTGTTCCAACATCTTGAAGTCTTCAAATCTGCGATGTAAGCAAGAAAGAACCTTTAAAAAAGTACATTTCATGCCGATTCCATTTACAACTACACACACTTAAAACGATAATCAGGGCTCAACGACTGAGCCCCTGTTTGTTGGGAAAGGAAGCCACATTTAGATACAAAAACTCGGCATAGTAGTTAAGCGGATGATATCAAATGAAGTCATTTACAAATTAATCAGCATATATGAACAAGTTGTGCGGTAAAAGTCCCATGCCTAACGACACTTCAAATGCACTCCGATGGCTGTCATCAGAACTAGTAAGAGCTGAGCAGCATAAAAATAACAGTTCACGAATCAATTGACATCAACAATAACTCACCTTGGGCGGTTTTCATATACTCTTGGATGCAGGACGCCTGCATTTGCGTCTCTGACTCTAGACTCAAGAGCCGATCCATTTGGTTGATTGAGCCTAAGTGTTTGTTCTTCTCTAACAGCTGACGCATGCAGCTCATCAAACGCATTCCAGACGCGCTAAGGGGGAAAGCCAAACAGCGTTACCAATAATCAACGTACACATTCACTTCCATTTATTCTAATGGAGTAAACTTGAAAAAAAAGGTACGCGGGAGTCCTGAGAACGAATTTAGTGGGTTCGCCTATTTTAACAGAGGAGGCGAGTTTAAGAACGTTTCTGTGATCTCAGTGACAATTTAGTTTGCAAAAGAACAATAAATATTGAAGTGCGCCTTGTTAGTGAGGCGGGTATTCATTTTTTACTGGTTGTTGATTAACTTGAATACTGCAACACATAGGCTAAGGAGACACAAAAGTACAAGATGGAGGAACGAAGGGCAAAATTTACTAGACGTGTGGTATGTTTCAAGGTATCAGACAGATATGCAAGAATGCAATAGCGATTTTAGCCCTACTTAAGATGTTTTCCTAGTCACGGCTCGCAGTTTGCAAGATGTAGCCTAGGAGTCCGAAAAATGTGTTCTCGATGAGTCATTACGTACGACTTGGGACTATCTACTGGTTTTTGACCACCAACTAAAAGATTAGTGGCACGATCCCACAATCGACTTAATGACGAGAGTACATTCGCTAGGAGAGCAAAAGCAGCAAAATTCGAAAATTAGCCCGTACCTATCAGGAGTGAACTTCCACGCGATTAGATCATCGTAACTCTGCTGGAGTCTCGACTTCCCTGCCTGGGCTGCTTCGTAGCCCTTCTGGTAGACAAAATTAACAGCAGGGTTGAGAATCCCCGTTTGGCAAAGTTGTTCTCTCGCTTCGTCCTCGCTCTCCTTCTCGGACGATCGCCTGGGTCGTTTGACAGGCTAGCATTTTGAAAAAAAATATTTAAAAAATTACGTGGCCTGGAAATCACATATCGCTCACTACCAGCATGGTGATGGATCGTTTCACACGAAAAAATTTAAACTCGACTGCAAGTAAGCACTTTAGGACGTGCACTGTGATTGGCAAGATCAGCTGTCAATAAACTCACCAATACTGACATAGCGTGGGCCAGTCGCACCTCGCTAGTGATAAACTGTTGAATTGCAGCTGCTTGTTTTTTAGATATTTCTTCATCGAGTAACTTTTGCTTTTCAACTGGAACAAAAAAATGCTGTGAAAAACAAAGAGTTCTGAAGCAATTGATTAAATAGAATTCGGTAGGTTACTAAAATTCAACTAGTCATTTCAAAAATGTGGTTGAATTTAAAATATCAATGCTTGCGTGTGAACAGACATTCTAGAGACTACATCAATGATTCGAGTTATTCACCCATTTAGAAAATAACTGAAAAAATTAGTTGAGTGCACTTCTTCAAATAGTACAATGCGTTGATTAAATTCTCATTAAAAAGCATGGTTGTGACATGTAAATGACGGTACTCTTTTAACAGCAACACAGAATAAGTTACAGGGTTACTAGAATGACAAAGTCAGCGTAGTTACTTAGTTGTTCATTTTCTTCTTCGATTTTCTTAAGTTGCAACTCCAAATGGTTAATTGCGGCAGCTTGCTCTTCAGCTCTGAAAATAATGAGGTGATAACAGAAAAGAGACGTACAATAATTCCATGCTCGCAAGGGAATTCATCGACTGTGCTGTTGCTTCGGTCGCTGCCATTTTCTTCTAAAAGCATAAATTTATTTAGTTAGAAATTCTCAACGACTGTAAGTAAATCACGAAATTTAAAGAAATCAGCTCAATAACGATGCGTTTGAAGAATATAAATACGTCAACGCGAGAACCGAGTCACCAGCCCCAAAATTTCCATCTTTTTAAAGCTATACGAGAGGAGCTAGACGAATGTAAGCCAAGAGCTTCAGTAAGGAAAATTTATCGAAAAATAATGAATTAAGCTTTAGGTTAATTTAGAAAGAAGCCTTGAAAAACCGACATAAACTATGCATAAGCGTCTGCACATGAGATGTATAACAGAATAAATTCGTAACTACATTTAAATGGGATAATTTTCGGAACCAACAGAGCAAATAGTGCAAGCTCGGTAGCATTCTCCCAGTTATTAATTAATATCAAAATTTCTGAAAATGCTATTTTTGCATATAAACTGTCTTTAAAAAAGCCTTGCACCAATGTTTCGTATAAGTATTAAAATCAATTAGAACACGAAAAAAATGTGTCAGACACTAGGGGCAAAAGTCAAAATTCCTGACAGTTTAAGTGATTATTTACAAAAATACGAAACAATTAGTTTGGCAAACGAAAACGATCGATAAAAAAATCGGTCACTAGATGTGGCACAATTCGTACTTTGATGCATGTATGGTAGACAAAAAAGGTAATCAAAAATACGTTTTAAAGCAAGATATTCAAACAACAGATTCAATATAACTAACTTCATCAAGAAAAACTGATTTTCGTGTGCAGTTCAAAGTAACCGAAGGAATTCAAAATCACCACCGAACCATAAAGTCTGATTAAGCCAATCAGATTAGAGTTTATGTCAATGACATGATTCTCAGTGCCTAAATATGCCACATTTGTAGGCGTTTCGCAATCCAACGATTTATAAGATCATTCAAACTTCGTGTTTCCAAAGATGAAAATTTTTCCAGTGACGCACTTTAAGATGCTCAAAGGCCAGTGTCAACAAGCGGCTAGACATAGCCTCCCAACTTGTGGTTTTTCACAATGTTTGTGAATATCTTTGGATGAGATATTCGAAATACATCAAATAAACACGGCTACAGTAGGCAGTTCTTCATTTTTTGACATGTATGCATTTGCTATAACAATAAAATCCATTTCTTCCAGTAATATTTTCCCATTTCCTGTAAATTTTTCTACCTGGTTAGTGGTTTTAGCATAATCAAATTGTTGCAACGCCATATAGCACAAGCTGCCCAACAGGTATGAAGTCTATTTAAGGTCAACGAGTCAACGGTTTATTCAAGGACTTGGCGTAGTCGTCGTCGTGCATGGGGTTTGCGCGTGTGTATTTATATAGCAGATGCATAAATCATACATGAGCAAACATCGAGACCTAGGAGTGCAGATAATCCAGGATAAATATTCCTGCGAATGAGGGGGAAGTTAAGGATCCGCGTTGCTGATGACTTGTTGCGAAATTGGAGCGATGTGTCTTGATCTGGTTGGAAAGACGAGATCAAGCAAAGTGAATCAACGCGATTCACAGTAAATTTTGTAAACACATGGTTGTTCCAAAGAATATAATGTTTTACCACCTTTCTCAAGTAAGTATGTCTAAATTTACAGTTCCTTAAATGAGCAAGTGAAATTACACTCTTGATTATGTTGAAGCAATTATGCACTTTACCGCACTATACCTACCCTATAATTGTCAACATGCCTTAATAAAATTAACGGACAAGTATATTTTGTGCGCATGCACATCCCAATTGGAATTAGTTATAGTGAACACAGTTAGAAGCAAAAAAAGCATGCAATGTATTATGCGGTTCTATTTAACTTGGATCGTGACTAACGTTGGATTCGTCATTAAGAAAGACAAAATTAAAAGAGTCTCTTTATGCGCCTAGTGACACTGATCCCTTTCTGAATTTTTTTCTGGTAGCCTAAAAGTCAAAATATTGCAAATAGCAGAAATGCATTCCTGTATTTAAGAATTAGCCGTGGATTATCAACTTAAAAGAAATTTGTTGAAAGAATTGATGAACTCATTGTTTTTTAATAGAATTTTTTAATGTGCATAAAGGCGATTAAACACTGTAACTTATAGCCTTTGGTGAGTGGTTGGAAATCGGCTATTCTGAATTGGTCTTTTTGTTTGGCTGACGTCTGTGTACCGGTTATGTTATTCCTACTATTTGTAAAAACAATTTAGATTTTAAGTCCTAAATCTCTCTGGATTCTTGAAGTTTGCCAATCGTTTTTTACAAAGTACTTACTGTGCGATGAAGTTAAATCGTTGATGAGCTTATTATACAAAAACTTAATGCGTGACTTCAGCCACTTTGAAAAGCGAAATTTCATTGATTTATCAGCACCCAATATTTTGAAGTCGGAAATTCAATAAACTTACCTCGTGTTCCAGCAAGACAGGTTTGGAAAATTCGAATATCTTCACCCACCGGTTAATTTAAAACATTTGACAATCAGCACAAACCTGCAACACAATTCTGTCGAACGCTTCATTTGCATTAACAAGGCACGGCAAAATGTTTGTGCCAATCTGGTCCAGTACTTTTCAACTTTTTACGGTTTGTAGGGTTTTGGGATTTTTTTCTGTGTGCTAGCAGATTCAAAAAATTTAAAATGAAAGCAAAACAACAATTACAAAGCCCATTTTTAAAACACTAAACGTAAACCAAATTATTGGGTCAGTACTTTATTCACTAAACTTTTTCGAAATTTGCTGCAATAAATCAAGAAGTTACAGCAATGCAGTTTTATATGTGCATTTTAATTTTCTAAATTTCTTTTTAAATTAGATGAACACATAAAGCAGCAATACAGTCCAGAGAGCTTAAAATGCGGGCGTTGAGCCACACTAATGTACGAAATACATGCATATAATATAAAAGTGATTTTACAATTTATTTTCGGCACAAACCTTCAAAAACCAGAAAATGCTGCAGCATTTCTGCTAGTATTCACGCAAAAATGTCGTACTTCGTATATGATCTGTAAAACCAAAGCCACGTTTTCGAGTAATAAAGAGTTACTTGCGCATCTTCTATTTAGTGAAATCCTTGTTTCTTTTCTTTAACTTTCTTTTGTATTTTATACTATAAATTTATAGACCAAAACATCCGTCCAATCCTGCGCCACTTCGAGTACAATATTTGACCATTGACCTCGTAGTTCTTCGGTTTCTAACACATAATCCAGCCTACTAAACTTTAAATGTTACTGCAATGTCCACCAGGAATCTTCAGCTACAGTTATTTGCCGCAATCACGTTTAGCTAAGGCATTAACAACAAACTTGTAATAACTGAAATTCTTCCGCGTTAGTATGGAGTTGTTACCTCAGTCATCATTCCGTTCTACTAAAACCTTACCGCTCATAGCATTTTGTTGTTAGCAATATGCAGTTATCTTTAAAAAGCAGAAAAATTCCCGTGTTTTGCAAATGTTTTTTTTTTCGCATTTACTGAAAGCATTTGAGACCTCTCCCTTGTTATAGTTAACATTGATTTCGAAATATTTACGTGATTTTTTATCTGAGTTATAAGTCGTTTAATAAATTCCTCTAATTTCCTCAAATTATTGCCAAGCTAAATCAATTAAATCATGCAAATCAGCTTTTTTGGATATTTAAATATATATATTTTTGGGGACAACATTTGACTTCTTATTTCCTTGAAAATGAAGTTATATTAGATCACCTATTTTAACGAATGCTTCTTTTTGTCAATGAATTAAGTCAATGTTGTTTTCTGCTATTGATACTTCTAGTGATAAAACGGTCCGTGCAAACAATTCTTCAGGAATCCAAGCCCATTCGACGTGGAGTGGAGGTCTTGATGTCTCTTTTAATAAAGCGCCGATAATAAAATCAAATATTTTACTACTTATCTGAAAATTAAACAGATACGTTGTGCTACGCCCGCTGATTATGATTTAAGCAAAAGTTTCTGACGACATACTTAGGGGGTAACATATCGCTCATATTTATAAACACTTTCAATTAAATTTCACGCTCGGCATTTGTAGCGATATTTACGTGGATGAACGTAGGTTCTGGTTTATCTTGTTGTACTCAATGTTGATTTAATTTTTTTCTTACCTGAGTACTTAGACATGTTTCCTTAGGCAGCAAAAGCTAGAAGTTACTCTTAACTTGTGCAACAGAACCGTTTGGTCAGAATGCAAAAAAAAATGAAAAACAGGAAAATGGAGAGTAGAATTTAGCTTCGTCATCGTCTCACAGATGATTGCGGCTAGCCGAAACGCTTTACTGTTCAAAAACGTCTTCAGATATTGCGTCTGGGCGTGAATATATTTTCCTACAAGTTCAATATTTAAAGATAAGATTTTTGTTCCAACTTCATCATTGAATGGGTTACAAAAAATAACCTGGACATCTTGAATTCATGCTAATAGAGTTGGCTGTTAATTTATTCTGTACTGGAAATCGTGGTCCTTAGTGAACAATTACGCTGGTGTTTGAGCTCCAGTACATTTGGTAAAAAAAAGGTGCAATCAGGAGCAGATAAGAACGTCAACATTAGTTTCGTGCAAATTAGCCTAAACTATAAAAATAATTATTTCGTAATGGCGTTGAAAAAATTTTATTTGCTTAAATAACAGGTTTACTGAAGTAAAAATATGCTAAAGGATCTTGATTATGTTACTTAAACATTTAAAAATATTTACACATGAAAACGTTAGCAAACTGGTCGTCCTACGAATTCGAATATCAAAATTATTCGGGCCGAATATTTGTAGGCACATAATCACATTTTTGAAATTTCGACTCATAGCATGCCAGCATAACCTATATTTTCTCTACTTCAACCGCAAATTGACAAATAATCAACCATGCCTTCCACATAATGAACTATGTCAATTGTTTGTGGCTCCTATAATCCGGCCTTTTCACTTTTCTTTGCACCCTAATTCAATTAATCTGTTTACCTGCCAGTAGATTTCCCTGGAATCCCTTTGACATCGATGAGTATTTATGGCAACTCACAAAAATGTATGATCCCTGAATTATTAGGACTGGGTAGATATAAGTTTCAGGGCTATTTAAGCTACATATCCTCATGCTGATCAGCGTAATTTGCTAATATTTCAGCCGTTTACTACACAGCTACGCCATTATCGAGATGGTATTCTAGGTAGAAAATTAGTTACGGTGCTGTTCGATAATGCTGGATGGATTCCCAGCACATAAACGGAACTGCATTTATTACCTCAAAGAACTATTTGCGCCAGCATTTTTTTAAAGAACCTATTTATTCAGCAAATAAATTGCCAAGATAAAGATTGAGGTTTGTTGTCACCGAGTCCATATTGGCGGGAATTACATGGCTTGACAAGTGGCGCGAATTGCCAAATACCTTATTTTCAAATGCGGGTGGTTCGTATCCTTTCTCCCTTTGTAATACTTTTTTTGTAGATTAAGGTGATCGAAAGATGAGATTTTTTGAGGGGAAATCATGTAAAGTCGTTGGCTTGTGTTTGAAGACACGGAAGAATCTCGACCGGATATTCCTGATCGTGCTGCGCCGCCTTAACTGCCCCTTCGACCTAAACTTCAATTTTCCCCACATTCATAATATCCATAGCACATTTATAACTGTTTCATTTATGTCTCTGAGAGTTATAAAATCTTTGCCTTATTACATTATTTCCGTTACCTCGACTCCTCGCCTTTTTGATAGCTTGCCTTGAAAACCTAATAATCCTAATGAATTAGATCTCTTGATTACAGCCTCAGTCAACTCCACACAAAGATGAACTGTGACAGTGTTACTAGAAGGTATAGTGTATTTGTCATCTAAGCTTTTAGGCTTCAGAAAGAATTAATGGATTTGATGGTACCACATTGGTAATTTGTGCGTCACTTTTAGATGTCTGGTGAGGCTGGTGTATCAGCCTTTCCTGACGGAGAGGATATGATGAAATGGTTAGCTACAATCCGTGGCCCAGATAATACGGTTAGTTTTCTATTATTTTTTGTTCGATGAATAAAGATGAGCTTCCGTACATCTTGTTTTTTCTCTAAGATTAAAGTCCGCAGTCCACACTAGTTTTTTTGCCCAAATTGTTTGGTTGCTGCAACCAGGAGCGGTAGTTATGTGGAACCTAATCTGAAGTACACTGTAGCGGGAGCTATATTCTTAGAAAATCCTTTTTAGATCAATGATGGTATTTCAGTGTCTTCATCTTACGTAAAACATTGAAATGTGACTACCGGTGATCTTCACTTCCCTCAACTAGGTTTATGAAGGCGAGATATATAAACTATCCTTGGAGTTCGGTAATACCTACCCGTACATGCCTCCGACCGTTCGTTTCATTTCACCCTGCTTCCATCCTAACGTTGACGCCCGTGGTAACATATGCCTGGATATCCTAAAGGAGGAGTGGTCCGCCTTGTATACTGTGAAAAGTATTCTTCTCTCAATCCGGAGCCTCCTTGCCGGTAAGCTAGTTTGACACTTTATTTGACTGCGGTACATGATGTTGACTGTGGGTTCACCACAAATTCTCACTATATGCAACTAACATCCATTCACTTAATGATCAATTGGTAGGAAATGTATTTAAGCGTAACATCTTTAGCAAATAGGATTGTATTAGTATCTATTATCTGTATCTTGATTGGGAAGGGCAAAAGATAATCGAAAAACCACTGTAGAGACGGTTCACACGATCTTTTGCTGGCTTAGTAAATGGGTAAATAGTAAAGTGGTCTTAGTGTTGACGATCGAGAGCAGGTCAACTCTGGCTAAATTGTTACAAAATCATGCAGACGCCCGTATCTTTCCCTACTACTAGGTATCCATTAACCGTGTAGTAGCCGCTTAACAAGTTTGTGGAATTGTCGATGAGATGTCAAAAGGAGATCCAACGCGTGCACACAAAGCATTGCGAAGAGACTGCTCTGTGGGGTCGCCGGTCATTCTCTTAGTCACCGCAACCTGTCTCTACCTTTTTGATGTAATTATCTGTACTTACTCCTTAATACGGTGCTTCGGGTGTATGTTCGTATTGGAAATGTCTGTCGCCGCCAACGTAGAATTGGTACCCATGTCAGGTTCTTAAATGCAGCTCTGTGTTTCAAAACCTTACTGTCATCGATTCTTATTTTATTTTTTATTCAAGAACCGAACAATAAAAGCCCTTTAAATGGTCAAGCGGCTCAATTATGGCCTGACCAGGAGAGCTTCCGGAAGGCACTCGTCAAGTTCCAGTCAACAGCAATGCATTCGGGTGATGCAGCCGCCGCTGTTGAGTAAATGCCACTCCAATAACCCCGTTTACCACATCGATTGTACAAAATCCTATGGCTACATTATTGTTTTATGTGTTTATGTGAAAATGAAAAAATTAGCTGTCTGTGTCCAAGTCCCTTCTGCAGTTCTAATGCAAGAAAAGAGCTGCTATCGGTGGCTGCTCCGGTTGTCACAAATCAGCCAGTACCGTAGTTGCAAAACACGAATACAAAAACTCCGTCCCTAACCAGATTGTTGGTATGGTGTCCCCACGATAAATACACTAATTTGAATGACCCAAAGCTCCAGCTCTTCCGTGTTTCGATTGGTCAATTTAGTGGTGCGAGAAATGGGAGTGTCTCCTTGAATCCCGGGTTGTCGATTAGTTTAATTGTGCGATTTTGGCTTCTCACTGCTTAGTTTGTTCAACACAGCATCACAGCTTTAAGGAGACCCGTATTGCTAGCTCGAGAGATCTTCGTTTGGGGGACAGTGGTTCCAATTATCAAAGTTATTACAACATTCAGCATAGAAGGCTCCCGCGCCGTGTTGTATGTGGTGGGTAAGAATGTCGATACATAATACCAGGTTGAGGTCTTGTAGTACAATAAAAGGAAACAGATTGTAGAAGATGTGTGAATACTATTGAAAGCTTCTCGCAGGAGCCCGCCTAGCTCTGATGGAGGTTTGACAGACGACATCTCGAACACAGACAACACCGAGGGAGGGAGTTTTGCGGAGTTCCCGTTTTGTTTAAAATTCTTACTTATTCTAAAATGCGGAAGGAATCAGTGAGAAGGAAAAAAAAACAATTTGCGCCCACTGGGGTAGCCGTCCTCACGTGAATACAATTAGCAATTCCGCTAAAATACGGTAAACATTTATGAGAGTGTTGGCTACGTCGCAAGCCGAAGTCCGTTTCGAAAAGCCATCAACATACTAACGTATGACTGCGTTAGCGGTTAATCCCACACCTATGACCAATGTAAACGTAGCGGTTGAAGGTACGCACGTAACCACTTCACCAAACAGCCTTTGCTCGTAGTACCAGGTGTGACCCAGGTCTGGATTTGCTGGCTGAGTAATTTGGAGCTGTTTTTGAGTGTACTTTTTCCTGAGAGGCAGGCAACGGCGCGATTATCCACCGATTAGCTGGTTTTTTAGCATGCGTGTTCGCTACCGTCATTGTCCTAGGTGTTGCCACACCTGATGTTTCACGTTTTAACAAACCGAGAGCAGAAACACTTTACTCTAGTTAGCCTAGCTGATCGTCCTATCAAACCAAACATCTATTGTTATTAAACTTGGGGGAAATCATCACTCATTGTGAAGGCTGTCCATTAAAGAGAGCCGTGATTTGCACATTTTTCCAGGCTTTTGTTCAAAGATAATCCGTGAACTTGAACTACTCAAGGCCGAAGATTCATTGGCCAATTACGAGAGTGCTACAACATCCATGCATCAAATCACTGTATGCACTCTTCTAATCCAGCCCCACAATTCAAAATCTGGGGGCTGAGGAGGTTGCTTAAGCGGTGGGAAGTACGAGCGAAGGTCGTTCGGACTCACCTTGGCGGAAGCGCTGCCCCAGTCCGACGTTCTGCTTCCAAGACTGGAAGCCAGACTAGCGAGAGTTGTGTCGAGTTGGTCGAGTGGGTTCGCGTTCTTCGCGGCGCCCTTGTCCACCACTGCGGGCCGAATCAGCACGTCGGTGGGCGCAGGTTTTAGACCTACCAAACACGCGCAGAGATCACAACTGAGTGTCCTCATTGAAGGGCATTATTCTGGCACTCTGGCACTCTCCTAACTACTGATGTGAACTTTCTTTCCCAGATCATTGCCAGGTTCAAGATTATTGAACGGAAGCTAATATAAGAGCCTATGAACTTGAATTATGCGCACAAGCTTTATTTCTTATGGGTAATGATTTAAGTATCACCTAGCGACAAATGTAGAGGACATCCTCAAAGCGAGTGAGATCGCGATATTTAATAGAAGTATTTTGTGTGCCAAGTGGAATTGTGAAAACCAAAATCTTTGTTTATTCAGAATCTAGACTTTTTGGGAGTGTATAGGAGTCGGGTAAGATTGGTACCACCATTTGTGGTCGAAACAGGGATTTGACGAACGATAACAAAGTGCCATATTTTTACGAATCATTTAATTAAACCACCTTAAGTGCTTGAAAAATCCAGTTTGCATACTAGAAAATGGAATAATGGTTGTCTCACGGAATAAGTATACAATGCGGAAACTAATGACTGCAAAACGCATCTATAACTAATTCAGTAAAACAAGCGTTCGACTCGAAGTTGTTGAATTGCAATTATAACGAAATGACTCCTTATGCGTAAGGCAAAATAAGCACGAGTCTTTATCTAGGCGCACATTCCACAGTTGTTACCTGCGGGCAAACCTGAAGGGTCAAATTTAGTCGACGGCGTCGCAGTGCCGGTGAGTGGCGTCGAATTTGATCCCCCATCCATGAGCGGATCCAGCGAGAGCAGGTCGTCAAGGGCTTGAGCGACAATAACCAACACGTCACTTCACAAACTCCAAACACAACACCAGTCTTAGTTATGCACAGTAGTGTGGCAATTCGCAATGTAATGAGGTAAAAGCATGCAAAATTTGTTGGTGCAGACAGGATTGAAAATTCACTACTCTAGCTCCGTTCCCATGTACAAGCTACACACAACAGCACCCCAATAGGGACCTATGACCTGAATGTGCCGGTAAATAGTTTGGGCGTCTGCCTGATAAGTGGTCGACAGTGGGCGGCGTCTTTGGCCAATTCACTCCGACCAATGACAGCAAGTTTTGCCCAAACTTTACCGATATTTTTTCCCTGAAAATATAATTAGAACCAGACGAGGAGATGAAAGAACTATTCTGCGCAAGGAGAGCTGAGGTAATATTACGCAGGCTTCCTCTCCACAACCGCCACACCACACAACTCCCTAACTCAGTCAGCTCAGGATTCTAATGATCTATTTGCTTGGAGGAATCCCATAAAATGCGCACTTTAAACCATAGAAAGCGGTCTACATTTTGTCCATTTGCAAAAGTACAAACCCTTCCTGCTGCCAATAGTTTTAATTGGTGCTAGAAATTTTTGAAGGGATAATTGTATACACACGGGTTTTTTATAACAATTATTAGCCTAACTCTTACTGGAAGGTGATAGTGCTGGTGATGATGAATGGAGTTACCTGAGTGGGGTTTTGACTGAACCGCAGGCGGCTGGGTGGCCTGTAAAGGAGCCGACATGGCCTGAACGGTTGGTTTTACCTGACTAACGGGAACCTCGTCACCGAATCCAAGCAAGTCGTCGATATCCACATCCGCAGTTGCTGCACACAACAGTACAAAAACGCGCATTTTAAGTTAAACACCAACCAAGTGAGCATTGTGACGGTGGAGCAATCTTGTTAAACACGCTCGCTCATAAAAAGAAGAAGTTCTGAAGGACAAAATGGCAACGTTGTGCTAAGAAAATGGGCCGAAAAATTCATGACTATAGAAGAATAAATAATACCAAGAGTGGACCGGGCCAAAATTACTTCCGGGTGTTTAGCTTTGTCGGCACATGGTATTTAGAAATAAGCAGTTTTATGTAAACCACTTACAGTTAGCTTGCCGTGGTTGAGGTTTGCATTGGTCTTCAGTAGCATCTACAAAATTGTAGGTTGTCGCATAGAATACAACAATGAGTAAATGGAACGGGACGTCGATTTACCGTACCGATGTGATGCACCAAACCATCAAACTACCACGGTGGCGGTAGTTCCAGGAAGAACAACAAGATCCACAAAGATTTAAGCACAAAGTCCCTGTCAATTACCCCAAAACCAATTCTTGGTACGCTTCTGTTCAGTGACCCTACATTAGCATCAATTTAGAGGTCCCTTTGAGAGGACGATTTTATACTAAGTGTTACGTTCTGATCTCCTGGGTTCAAAGCCGAATGATTTTCCATTTGGCTAAAAAGTAAAATTTTCACGCCCTGTCACTGCGTCCTATGCGCTTGCTTCCTGAGTCATGTTTGCACTGATGGCTGATTATAATTGATTTCATTGGTCAAATTGGAGTGTCGTTATCATTTTCTTCATTTTAGCGAACGAAAATGCATCAGGGATAGATAAATAAGCGTTTGTATCTCAGTGATTGTTGATTAAGTTGAGGATAGCCCTCCGCCTTGAGGATATTATGCCCTTTTAGCTGCAAAAACCTATGATTACGATTAAGTGACGTACCAAATCCAAAAAAGGCTTTTACGCATGAATTGCAACGTCTTTGGTAGTTACGCATGCAGTCACAAATTATGCATAAAGACGTCTACGGTTAAGAATGAGACAACGCTTTGTTACGCGACTCGCCTTCAGCTTCACGTGTTTGGCCCACGTTCGATTCTTCGGCAGATAAGACATCTAAAGAAATGAACACAAGAGGATGAAGATTTCAAAAAATGACTTTAGTCTGCAATCTTGTCAGATATATCACGCATATATCCTACACTTGTGGTAGTTAGTGGTCAATAAGCTTGCAATTTAAACTGGGTTACAATTCAGGCGTTTATTGTGGTACCGATTTACTCAGATCCATGAGCGAAAAATGAAAAATACGAATTAAGTACAATTTATTCAGATGTCTAAATTTTGCAAAACTGTTATCTGTCATACGCTAAACGTCGCATTACCGTTGCATGCTGTTGCTGCTGTTGTGCTACTACTGTGTCCACCGTGAGGCAAAAATTGACGTCAATACAGACTTTGGTACGAGTGTACCAATTTAGGAGTCGAGCGAATTACTCAAAAGCATGGCGGTAGCATTTGCCAATAAATTATAGGGGCCGTCTGCAAGCCTCAAGTGGAAGCATTAAGAGTACGTGAAATGGGCTTAAAAATTGATCACAGTCGGCTGCGACATCGGCACGTGAGCACTGGCAGCGTGCGGTGCGAAGGTGAGTGAATTCGCCCACGATTGCGATTGGCTGGTCGATCGATAGACGCGCGTTCGCTGCCAAGCGCAAAAGCCCCTTTCAGACCCTGGCAGGCGCGTTTTAATCGCGTCGCTCTGCCCGCGCCAGAAAAGCCCACGCGAACGTCCCAGTGCAAGCGACCACAGGAGGACTCATCAACGCACCCGCTAAAGTCCGCAAACCCTGTGGCAGCTATACTTTCACGGGGAAAGCAAAGCAATGGTTTTGCGGATAAGCATCTGTATACCAAAACCGGTGAAAGTAATCGTGAACAGCATACTGCAAAGCTGGAATTTTTTTAAATTTGAATTATCTATACATGCACTAAGTTAACCAATCAGTAATTCCGGAAGCCCAACAATTTCCAAGAACACCAAATCGAGAAATACGCTATCTTAGCGTGGATAATAACACATTTGGTCGTTAGATGAACTCTACTGGATAGCCTGTAAATCGTTAAAGCCAAGTGATTCACAGACATTAGCTGTTGTGCTGCAAGACTGCCTGATACACCAGCGAAAACACGTGTGGGTCCAAACTATGCTGAAATTGAACGAGCTACATCATGCTGAGGCCAGCGGAGGATCACACCGCAATAAGTATCCCCACCTGGATTGGTCAAGGGGTATGTGATGTGAGCGAGTACAACAGCAGCAGCAAGAGGCTTGCAAAGGTGCAACAAGAAACGATCACTCACTGTCGGAATCCGGGGTTTCGTGGAGGGGCGTCGACCGGCCGGAACGGGGTGAGGCTGGGCGAACAGGTGACGGACTTCGGGGTGGTGGGGGTCGGACCGGAGAGGGACTGCGAGACCTCGTTGACGAGGGGCTTCGGTCAGCTCCACCTGTTTCATGCCTTAAAGGTCAACGCATGTCAACTAAGTTGACGCCAAAATTAACAGGACTACCAGGCAAATAAAAATGAATTGGTTTTTACATCAAAACGGGTCACTTGAAGGGTGAATGGAGCAGAATAGTCTCGCAGCCAGTGTCTTTGTGCGCCTTATGAAGCCATCTGTTATACATGAGGTAGTAGTGGACTGTCAGTGATCACGCGTAAGTTAAACTTGTTTACAGAACTGACGGTGGCAATGACTCACGCTAATTGCATTGCGTACTATTACCAGTCACTTGTTACGCCCGCTCACTCACTGCATATCAAGACACTTGGCTGGGATGGACGTCATCGCGACCTCTTTTGCCTCTGTTCTCCGGTTGTTACGGTCTGTTAACTCGCAGGGTTTAGTAAACATCACAAGTCCGGGGATTGTCTACGTTTATTAGTTACCGTTATCGTAAACTGTCCAAGATTGATCTAGTCACAATTTCGTTGGTTTCTTAAAGCATCGAGGGTTAGAATTCACCAAGTATAGAGAATTGTACTTTTCAAACATTTCTTGTGACTGCTCGCTATTCGCTTATTGCACAATCGACTCTATCATCTGTTTAACTTGTCATTAGGAATTTGAAACGGTTGACGATAGCTCTACCAGACACCCAGATTCTTCTGTTAGAAGTCACAAGATTTGAGAAGGATCGGTTTCTATCAGCGACCTGGTAGGCCGTCATCGGAAGGGACATGCACGTCCTTCCAGAGTTGATTATTTAGTTCCTACATTCTCACTTTTTTCAAGAACCCATTGTTCAACTATTGTCATTAGCGACATCATCATCATCACTGAACAAAGAGTTAACCATAACTAAATAAAAAGGCAACTCGACTTCGGCTATTTTACACTGCTCCTTCAGAGCTCGCTACTTGTGCTTAAAGCTGCGAACGTGCTGCGCTAACTCGTAACGTAAGACGAGAAAGCGATTGCCCTATTGGTCATTGGCCGGGAGGAAGAGTAGCATACAGTTGTTGGGGCAATTGCGGTTTGAGTATTTGTCTGACCTCCAGCTTTGTGGAAAACTGAGCTAAACGTGGTCAAATGGACTTGCTTTCCGAAAAGAGTTCATCATCCATGAAGGGAATTGGAAAAGGCCCACGACAACGAGTGGAGACAGGTACAGAAAAGGATAATTTCGAAATAACTCAAAAGGGAGGTTTAGCTGAAGAGGTTCGGACTGATTCTCCAAGGCGAAAAATGAACGCAGTTGGTGGAAAAAAGAAGTACATGTAGATGTCAAGAGACATTTCATTTTAAACGCCAGTAGCTTTGGCTACACCGTGTACTTACTGGGTTTTGCGTGTTTGCCTCGGGGTAAGCATAACAGACTGTTTGACAGCCTGGTTGGTGAGTTCGGAGGAGTGCGCGAAGTGCTGGGCTGCGGCCGCAATGACGGCTTGTTGCTGTTCAGCTGAGAGACCTACACATCGAAAAAAGGCGAGAAGAAGCCCATCGCATCACGCCAATTTCGTTTAATTGGGAAAGCCATAGTGTAAACTTATGCAAGCTGTGTGTTGTCTTCTGCCGCGATTAAAGTGGGTCGAAATAAAGCAAGGCAATTAATCGACTTCAGCAGCCGGCGCTTGATCGCCTCCAAATCAGCCCAATTCAGGTGCTTGTGATGTACGTTTTAATTACGTCGACCATCGGGCAGGAAATCGAAAGCCTTTTGACAGCATTGTATCCTTACTTATCTTACAGTAAACGCATTTTTAAAAAGCACTTGAAGTTAATGTTGTCAGAACATTTATTGGGCTCATCTAATAAGATGTCCTTGTTGAATTAACTCAATTTTTTCGAATAATTTTGCTAAAATTTTGCTGCACGTGAGTTGCCAATAGACAAACGAATTTCAAACTCAAAATGCCGATTAGCCATTTTCGAAACAACTCCACTCTACACTTTGTGCCAACGATGAAAGGCGGGGATCCGGCCTCAATGGAACGTTTGTGGTACGCGTAAGTCCAGAATGTATAATCAACGTTGACAGTCGGATGGTGGCAAATGGTGAAAGAGGATCAGGGTATGGAAGCATGCACTCGGATATTTCCGTGCCAAATTTTCGAACTGGTGGGAAAATCAAATGCGTCAAATAATATTTTTCGGTTATAGTGAAAAGCGTCTAGTAAATTTGCTGGTCTTCAGGTATTAGTTACATTTAGACGTCAGATGTTAAAAAAAACGCTCAAAATAAATCAATTGAAAGAGATTTCCACACAAAATCAACAACAGTGACCACGCACTGCAAATCCACGAGTTCTGGATATCTTAGAACTGCCATGGAGTAACTGGATCTACGAGACAGCGCCCATTCTATATTTTCCAGGTTTGTCGATGCAACTAACTGTCACAAAATGATAGTAGGGAAAAATTACGATAATGCACAATTGACATCGCCACATCGAATGTCAGTAGCTCAAATATTCTGACATCTTCAAATGTAGAAACCTTGGACGCAAGTTGATGACTGCTGAGATAAAGATATCATTAATAAGATATACAGGATTTTGCTGGAAAGAGAACAACAACTAGAATTTGGTTGATTTGCATCTTAACAACAAAGGTGCCTTAAGCACTACAAAAATTCTGACGAATGTTCCGTCATAAAACCGCCCTTTTTACACATATTTCTTGGTTCATACAAAAATCTTCCCACTGGGCAAAACTGGATATCTTATTTGTCAAAGTCCATATCTCAACAGATTTCAACTTGCACCAAACCCATCCTGATCACTCAAACAAAGGATTTACGGTGATCCACAAAGGCACTGATTCTAAAGTGATCAAAAACCGTTCGTTTTTGAAAAAAACTTAGCAACAATGTAGAACACAAATCGTCCTTACCACCAATATTGACTAGAAGTCTAATTGTTTAAATAATCATTAATTTCTGCAACATTTTAGGCCTAATGCACCAGTTAATAATTCAGTAACAATGCTTTGACAATGTAACAAACAGAATCGAGTTTTTTTCTTAACAAACCTTCGGCTTCATCAGCCTCGTCCTTTTCATTCTCTTCACTCTCCTCCTCTTCTTCCTCGGCTTCAATGACTTGCTGACAAACGCCGTCATCCTCCACCGGTTCTGTGCTTTCGCCATCGGGGTTGGTGACAATTACTTCCGTGGGAGGAGCCTTAATATGGTTGCTCGGGAGATTTCCACTGGAGTTGTCCTCGTCAACTGGAAGCGTGTTGAGATCAGCAATTAGTAAGGCTTCGCTTGGTGTCGCCTTCGCTTCACCAGCGGGAGAGGAGGTCGGACGAGATGGGGAGGCGGAGACATGCTTTGACGGCGACTTTGGGCGGGCGGGCGACGCTGCAATTTTAGCCGTGGACAGAGGCTTCTTCGTCGAATTCTTTCCTACGTCCTCCTCCTCTTTGCCATCAGCATCGTCATGATCGTCGTCACTGTCGAAATAAACAAGGCCCGTGTACCGGGGCGTTAAATGAGAATAACATTCTAGAAGAGGGTAAATGATTATTTAACTCGGTTTCCCATAGCTAAACTTCGAAAACGTGAAACAACACGAAAAAACAGTCATGATCGTCAACAATTCAAATTTGAGATTGCAATAAATTTAGGTGGTTTTAGTATGAAATAAATTGTCGTGACATACATTAGTACAAATTTCATTCGTTTATAAGAAATAAAACAAACAGTTTCTGCATTGGTGCCCAACGCATAACACCATTAGGAAAAATTTTGGGCACTAACCCAGGCTTCTTCGTCTTATTTAACAAAGCAAGGTGTTGTTCCATGGCTTCCAGTATTTGTGGAGGGACCTGAGGTAATAAAAAGGATTTTACGTTAGAAAATAACTTACAAGCGTTGCTTAGTTTAATTATCTTATATTTTCTTACTGGATGTAAGCCCATTGCTTCCTTGTCACCGATTCCAAGCCTCTGGATTGAAAGCAGACGGTAAGTAATTTCCCGAATAAAACATTGTATTGGCTTTAAAGAGAATACTTACTTCAGCGACTGTCAAAAATTCGTCGACTTTCGTCATGATGTTTGGAAAATCTCGATAAAGTTCAAGAGCTGTCCGGCAATGCGATCGCTTCATTGAGAAGAATTTTTCTATAAAATAGCGCGAAACAGAATCCAGTGAGATGAAACAACGATAGCAAATCCAGTGTGCTGAAAATAACCGAATGGCTGCGATCCGATTGACTTCAAATCACTCACCAACAAGGTTCATCATTCCTTCATTATAGGAAGCAAACAAGCGTATGAGGTCTTTGTACAGAAGAATAAAGGCAGCATTGATGATGAGATTGTTAAGATCTTTTTCGGTCGCCTAAAACCAGTTACACTTTATAATAATAGGATCACAAATATTGAACACAAATTAGGCTTGAAGCTTGTTACCGTTTACACGAATGGAATATTTGTATGGTGAAGCTTACCTCAAATTCAAACAAGACGTTGAGCTGATCTCGAAGGACTGGAAGTGCCTTCAATAGCTTTAATGAATGACAGAAAAATATGATGGACCAATTTGCGGGTCATGAAAGAGGGTACGTTAAGTTCCGACGACAGTAATTGACAACGTTTCAACCAAAAATAACGACAACAACAGGCGCTAAATAAATCACCTTATTTGCTGGCATTGTACGCATTACTCCGTCATCCTTCCTAAAACATTATGGTTATTGACTCAAAACCATACTTAGCCAGTATTAGCATATGTAAGTGAATTAAAAATGGCTTGTACGAATTTACAAAGTCGCCAAAGTGTTTTCAGGGCTTGGATTCCCAGCATTGCATAACAATATTCTTTTAACATGGGAACGTCAATGTAGAACATGATAAATTAGAGATTAATAACGTTGACGTATGAGTTGGATGCCCTTAAAAAGCACACACTAATGGTGATATTAGATAATCTGGTATTCGACTCAAATGGATCGAAACTTAAAGCGAATTCAAATATAGCGGACATACTTACCCACGTTTAACCTTACAGAAATCAAAAGCCATCAGTTGATAAGACTTTGTCTTCTCCGCTAAATATTTCGAGTACTTTCGAATGAATAGAGACATCTCGTAAGCTATTCTCGTAAATTATAAAAGACGACTTACATTGTGAGCTCGATTTGTCGTTGAAGTGAGGGAGATGGAAGCTGCAATTATTGGATGCCATATACTGTGATACTTTCTTACAAAAAAGCAGGTAAGTAATTTCAAACCTCATTTCCATAATTCAGCAAATGATGAGTTGTAATAAGCGCCTTGAATACAACAACCCACGATTTTTCATGCGCTCTCTCGGATAAAAAGTTAATAAGTAAGGGTATCGATACATTTGGCTCATTGCTACACTTTGTCAAGTCTGTGACAATAAAAATGGTAATAAATAGCCTACTTTCCAAGTGTTTCTTTTTTGGGGCAATTAATTCTTCTGTTGACGCCTTTGCAACAACCTTGCCAAGTGCCGACCCAGCCAAACTGTACTTGGCCTGTGTAACTCTATCCATAAAACTTTGTCCAGTGCCACTTCCAGCTAACTGCTTTGCTATTTTTCCTGCCATTCCAAATACGGACCTAGAAGCAGTAAAAATCGAATCAGAGAAGCGCTATTTATTTAAGGCCACGCTGATTATTTGATGAATTAAAACATTCTATGGAATCACATTAAACATTTAAACTTTGTTGCACTGCTACTTTATTCACTCCAACGCATTAATTTTTTAGTACTAATGTATAAACCGTAATTTAACGTTTTAGGTTTGAGCCAATTTTATCTTACTTGAGTTTCAAAGTTGACAGATTGGCATCATGCATCCATGACTTTTCTAACCAAGTTAAATGTCTGATATGATCTAAATGATTCTGATCTAAAATAACTTGCTTAATTCACAGTTATTTAGTGATTCACAAAATTATGGTCTCTGTTATAATGTGCCCAATTAATGCATTTTAAGTATTTTAGATTTAATTGGCATTAAATAGGGTGCAAAGTAATTTAGCACACTTTTTGATAAGTACTTGTTTGAAATCAAGAGGAATAGCCCATTATTCTTAGTTTAACATGTCGTTTTGGTCATACATAACTAGCTTGCCTAAAAAGATGATTATAGGAGACTAATATCTGCACTAAATATTTGCATCAGTCTTGTTTTGTATGCATTCTTGTTAACGAACTCTTGATGCCTGGTTATTATCAACTTCCCACCACAGTCAAATGCCAAGCTAAACCCAGCCAAACATCCGTTACTTTATCATTAATTTACCAAATGCTAACATTTTGATATATTTGGTTGACTGTTATTTCGCATTGCCGATGCCTGAATTTGAATGATTTCTTGGTAGCACAAAAAAACTTAAGCTGATTTGGCTAGAATCTATTTCGTGAAAATTTAATGTCGCATTTATAGCTAAAGCAGCTACCTAAAATTCAGTTTTCTGATAGATAGATTGCGAAACTGATTTTTCTTCAAATACACCAGAATTTAGTGGTACGGTTATAGTTCTAAGATTTAGGTGAGAGAACGAATGACAAATTCTGTTGACAGCTACGGCCACCATGTATCATGCGCAATTTAATTAATTAATTAAGCGAAGTTCAAATTAGAAATAACCTAGTTTAGACTTGGAAGTGTACGAATTGAATTCATTTCTTAATTACATAATTCATTTTCGGTATGGCAGCAGTGTAGCTCATTACTGCTTGATAAATTTTAACATATCGGGATATATATTGTTTCTTAATTATGCAGAATATGAAAGGAATGAACCAAATCGGTAGCAAGTGGAACATGGATTTTTAATATTTAGTTTGCAAAATTGCTGTTCACTCGGCATAAATGACTTGCACGTTAATTTAATACAAGATAATTTAGCTGCACATTTCGGTTTATTTATGTGCTACAAACACAAAGACGTTCTCATTATGACTGATATCGATATAGTCACAGTTCATACCTTAATACGTTTCGTTTCCATTTATGAAAAGGTGCATATTAAATGGCTTAAATTGCACAAAGGATTAAACGTGCAATAAGGCTTGGTAGATTGCATTAGTTATGAACTGATACCTTAATGGCCTTAATAAAAATAAGGTATTTGGCATATTAAGGACTTCAATTTTTTCACAAATTATTGTCGTTAATTAGTTTTATTACACGTTAAACGCTCGCGCTCTACCCAAATGTAAGGTGTGGATGACGCTTGTAGGGCTCTCCTACGTGCGATTGATCAGTTATTATTTTTTGACGTACTATTTGTCGAACATTAATTTTAGTCCCCTTAATGCCTTTAAGCAAAGTACTAATTGTTCTGCCTTTCCGAAAATTTTTTTAAAGATTTCTTAAACAAATGTTAATGGTAATTATTTGTCCTTTTTAGAACATGCTAAATATCTGTTCAAAATGCATTGTATAGATTTTGGGTTTAAAACGAAGATTTACTTGTGCGTTACCAACTTGTTAAATCAGGCCTTAATCGAGGTCGATGCCTTTGATTCACGCCACTCATTAAATAATTGTTATTTCCAAATAGGGGCTTTGTAGTCGTGAAAATAACTCTGTGCTACTAGCATCGCATATCCTGGGTCAAAATTTCTGAACTGTTTTGCGCGCTCTAAAGTTTGCTGCAGGGGAGGTCTTACTGACAGTTCTACACATTCACACCGACATAGTGCGCTTAGCAAAATGTGGACACCACTAATTCGAACACAAAAAGTTTTGAATACTAATGGCGCATGTCTTTCATAACTATCTTTTCTTATCGACATGCAGTCGTCATCTTTTGCCTCATGCCCACTTGATCATTTCCGCTTTTTACCATGTGCCATTACTTGTATTTAGGGTGTTTTCTTCCTGTGTGCATCTGCATTGCTAATTATTGAATACAGTTTTACCACAGAAACCTTTTCACATGTTTTCAGATCGCCTCCCTCGCTAGTTCTGTTGTAATTATTTGAATTCGCTATGAAGTCGGGTGATTTAGTGTTGCTTAACAACCTGTCGTCGCAAAACCCATCACTTTCGGGTAAAATCAAGTTACCTTTTGACGATTTAAAGTGACTGACGACTATGAAAAGGCTATTTCCTATCAATACATTGAATGGAAAAACAAATTTGCTGTCGCATCTAGTGATAAGGCTCAGCATAATTTACTTTTGGTACCTGGAATTTCTTTGAAAATATTTCTAGGTTCTGTCAAATGACTTGATGTCGCGTATGTTCATCACCGGCGATTCTTTAAAAGCCATCGATATACTATTCAGTCAGTTTATTGAAAAGCATTTGGTATGATTGCCTTTATTATTTATCATCTTTTTAAAAGCTCTCCATGACGTTCGAAGATAGAGAGAAGATACCCGGTCTGATGCGGTGGTACACTCTCGTACAAAAGCACCACCCATCGCTTTCTTACGTGCCGTTTCAGCGAATGAAACTGTATTAACCTAACTGAATTTTGGCCTTTAAATGTACCATTCGTTGTTTGGCTTCGCTGTTGCAGGTTGCACAAATGCCTTTTCATATCAGTGATGTATTGATATATGCGCAATAAAAGTTCCGTGGACATTGAACCCGTACTTAATTTTAAAGCCTTTGTAAAGCTCTTCCTTAGTTTTGATAGCCTTTATTAGAAACTTGATGGATTTCCACGGTGCCATCGTCCTCGCTCCCATGGTTCGGGTCTCCACGCATCCCATGCGTTTGTTGGCCCTCAAATATGGAGCCTCATATGTCTACACTGAAGTGAGTTTTATCTTTACTTAATAGATTTGAGTACTATTTTCCCAAAAATGGAATTTAAAAAGGATTTCCCTGGTGTTTGTTTTATTACTTAAATAATATATATCCAGCTTTCCAGTTGATTTAAGTCTAACTTTGAGGGAGTTTTCACACGAAGTCGACTCGTGAAGTGTTGGCGTTATAATCTTGTTCTCAACCTATCCTAATCGATAATTTAACCTTTGGTCCATCAATGGAGAGACAGGTACTCCACACACAAACCCTGCGTTGTATGTGTTTGCTTTGTTGGCACAAATCACTCGTCATGACCGGGTCGTGTTAGTGGCCACAATCTGATGCCACAGTGACGCAATAGGGTCAGTCAATCTGAATGAGTGTGTCAAAATGTCCATAGAACAGCGCATCCTCCTTCTCTTTACAGGAAATAATCGACTTCAAGCTACTCAGAACGACTCGCATCGAAAACAGTAGGTCATTACCTTTCTTTTTGGAAAGCACGTCTATTTGAGTTGTGCACCAGTGGCATTGTGGCCATTTCAGAAAAACTTGGGACAGTCGATTTCGTCCATGATGATGGCACTGTGGTGTTTCGAACATCCCCTGAAGAAGCCGGCAAAGTCATCCTTCAACTGGTAAAGCTGCCCACTTTTGGCATTCTGCATGTTTACTCTCAAATGCGTTATGTCAAGCTAAAAAAGCTGATTCATGCTGCACATGAGCCGTGGTTTTGGTCCCTAATTCTTCACGTTTTGTAGGGCACCGCGGACGCCACACGGGCTCTACTGGCCGCAGAACGAGTGTAAGTTTAAGGCCACTAAACTGTTGCATGCCCGCCTCAGAGGTGCTCTCTGTACCTGATGATCGTCATCGCGTAGCTGTCGATTATGCTTTTTTTATTGCACCGATGGACACATCGAAACACGCAGTCATTCTCCTTTCAGGCAAGGTGATGTTGCCGGCATTGACGTGAATATGGGCTGTCCAAAAGAGTATTCTATCAAAGTACGTTGGCTCTCCCCCCTAAACCCACTGGAATTTTTAAACAGCCGACTACCACGGCCCTCTAATTCATGCACTCATTTAATGAAAATGGTCAGACCGACGTCTTGTAACTCATTGGCTTCAGAATTTGTTTGCTTTCTAATGCACATCACAGCGGCTGTAGGGAACCATTTGACCTTGGCGCCATTACCATAACGTCTGCAATTATTTCATCATTTCGTTTTGTTTACTTGCAAATTTTCTTATCTGTATGCTTTAATTGGACGTGTAGTATCTAGCATTATTGTCTATTACCCTAACGACCATACTCCATTTCAGGGTGGCATGGGCGCTGCTCTGCTACGAAAACCGGAGAAAGTAAAGGCGGTACGTCTGAGTCAGTGCAATTTGTGCGTAATTTTGCGATGCTTTGCACCTGAGTTTCTTTTTATTCTAGATTCTAACCAACCTTGTGCGAAACCTTCGTGTTCCTGTAACCTGCAAGATTCGGATACTGAATACGGTACGTCAATTGAATCGTGAATTCATTTACGTAATTACACCTGTCAAAATCGTTCTTTCGCAATGGCCAATTAATTTCCCATGGATGATGCTGCGTTGCAACGACTGAGCTGCCCACCCACCCTACAGCATTTAACCTCCCTTTTCAGGTAGAGGAGACTCTCGCCCTCGTGCGACTGATCGAGTCAACAGGAGTCGCAGCGATCGCCGTGCACGGCCGGAAACGCGACGAACGTCCCTGCCACCTGAACCACGACGACGTTATTCGCGCCATCGCCAGCACCGTCAAAATACCGGTCTTAGCCAAGTAAGTCCGTCATCGTCTCATCTATGCGTGGTTTACAACATCCTGTGGCACTGCGTCCACCTACTCATTTCACATTTCCCCCAGCGTTAAAGGTGCGTTTCTCTTTCAAGCCAGTTCACCTCGTTTGAGCCTTCTTTTAAACTGTGCTTTCGTTAATTCGCTTCTGGCATAATTTTACTTTGGACCTCATATTTGCGCTTTGTCTTCGACACCGAGTGTCCCTGATATGGGATCAATGAAGTCGTTGTTACCGTCCTTTTGTCTTTGAGGTTTTTACCAATCCTAAGTCCTGCCACACCGAGTTGGATTCGATCCGGACGCATAATACGACTGTCCAATGACATCCTCTTATTGTATGCTCACTGTCCAGGCTGCTGGCGGGCTTTATGGGCTGAATTTTTAGCTTGTCGTTTGATTCTTCGTCCCCGTTTCAATCAATTTTCGAATTTTTGTCGTCGTTTTTTCGTTCAAGGAGAGCCGCATTACGAAGGCAATGTGCCGCGTTAACTTAAGGGTTGTCAGACCAATCCCCTTCCACCACCTGTAGTGCCGTACTCATTTGACGTTTGCCCTAGCGTTAAGAGTACATTTTTCCTTCAAGGCAGTTCACTTCGTTTGAGTCGAGTTCAGCTAATCCTCAATCTTTGGACGGTTGAATGGCGCAGCAATAACTTACGGTTCTGGCTTATGTCTGGTCAACAAAGCCTGCGTTGTTGTGTTTGGAACCTAACCACGGCCTAGTCAGGTTTATGTGGGCTGACCATTTGCGTACATTCCTTTGTAGTGGCGGCTCGAAGCAAACAATTCGTATCCACGAAGACATTGAATTTTTTCGCCAATCGACTGGTGCGGCCGGTGTTATGATAGCTCGTGCCGCAATGTGGAATCCCGCCATATTTTCGCCTCCGTCTCCAAATGGTCCCCCACCAACAGATTTCCAACTTGTCCACGAGTACATTGAATTGGTATGCCGGGTTTATTTCCAAGCTAGTTTGTGGGATTCCTATTTAGAGTAATTTCTTTTACTAGATCCGATGCTATGACTCATTGGACTCACCCACAAACCTTTGAACTGCTTAAGTCCCTAGATCTCTGGCTAAGGAAGTCAATTCTGCTATTTAGTCTGTAATTGTCTAGTTTTTGTGTTGCATCAGAACACCGACTAGCAAGCCTCTTCGTTTCTCTGAAAATTTTTGGGACACATCGAAGCACATTTTCTTTTCACTTCAGGCAGTCAAGTATGACCATCACGTCAGCGGAACCAAATATTGTATACAACGTATGTTCAGTGAAAAGACCACCGCAGACGAGTACGTCAGAACCCTATCTGCGGAATCCATGATGGATATTTGGTAAGCTGAGAAACTGCACTGCCAAATCTAGCTTGGTTGGCGATTTTCCCAAAATCACTGCGTCGCTTTGCAGTTTAGTTCTCTCCCCTGGCAGTAATACCACTGGCGACTATTAAAAAATCGTCTTATCGGGCGATTTTTAATCCAACACTAAGACTTACATTTTGTTTGATGCTGTTTCACATTTCTTGAGTTATATCCGTGAAAGTCTTCTGCATTACCACTCATCATGAGATAGGATCTTGACTTCAAGGTGTTTGGTCTTTTCACGCCAGCCAGACTCTTATACCGCTCTTTAGATTCTAAAAATTGGTCGTAATCTGCTGTTGAACTTGGAGAGGTACATTGAAGCTGCATTTTTGAATTGGTTTCTTCCTAAATGCAACGACTATGAGCGCCACCAAGTGTTGTGTTGCGCAGTTGACGAACAGGCATCTAAAATGTTTGCCTCTGGGCTGATTCCATACCCTTTTTTCCACCATCTTCAGTGAGATCTGGAAACTGCCCGACGACGTGACCGAACAAGCCAAACTCTGCTCCATTGATCGCGTCGTCCCCACGTGTGAAGTAGTCGCCAACGGTGACGCCTCGGGCGCAAAAAAACCGCGCCTCCATGGTAGTGAAGGCGCGGACGCGGAAGCTGCTGTGGTTAAGCTGCCTATGCGATTCATTCGAAGTGAATGGCCAGAGGTCGGTGACACGCCGAAACAGCTTCTCGTGGAGTACTGCAAGCGCAACAAACTCACCTTCCCAACGTACACCACGGTAGAGTTTCTTGCGTACTTGTACATGCAGACAAGTCTGGAATTCACTGGGCTCTAACCTAAAAACCTCATCTTCTAAGGCACACATTGTCCTCTCAACGAATTTGATGTTAATTAATTGCGGCACTATTATAGTGGTACGAGATAGAATTCGAGTTCATCGTTTCGTGCCCCTAATACCATTCAGTCTCAAGGCCCAGCAATCCAAGTAGCTGACCACCACAACCACTGTCGCCTTAGAGTTAAATCGATCTTACACTTGAAGTGGTTTGCTAGCACTACCTCAAAACCCTGCCAGTTGAAGGCTCGTAACAACTCGAGTAGAGAGGCAAGAGAGGTGACAGCGGTGACGACCGTTTACTACCGCACATGCCAACCAAGTGTGTTTGTGTGCACATGAATGGACGGGCAACAAACGACTGCAATCAGTGACCAGGGAAATAGGGGTTAGTCATTGACACCATCGGGTCAGTGAACAGGATCCACTCACTCCAGCACAACCTCATCCATCCGTAGGAGTGCAAGCCTGCCAGCACCACGATGGTGGGTTACAAAATGGAGTTTTAGAGCACACTTGTACAGTTTTTGCTGCACTGTTCCGACTGTTTGTGTAAAACAGTCTGCGAGGTGTTAAAAAAGTCGGACGACACACTCGAAAGTGTAGCGGCATTTTCCCTATTTTAGGTGGAACACAAGGCATCACGGTCATTCACAAGCACAGCTACTCTGAATAGTGTGAAGTACTCGCATGAAATCCCGTAAGTACCTGACGCCACAATCGGGTGTTGAGGTAGCCATAGGGGATTGTTGAGCGTTTGATCCTGTATTTTTCCCTGTTTTTCCATACCCCTCCCACACCAGTGTGAAACCCACAGGAAAGTCACAGCTTAGGAATGTTGTCTGTTCGAAGACCACTTTAGCATTCGAGTGCAGCTTCGTTGAACCAATGCTACTGATTCACTTTTAATCAGTGTGGTTTTTTTCCAGATGCAAATCCAAACGGTACGCCGAACAAGCAGCTGCACTTGTCTGCTTGACGCACCTGAAAATTCCCTTGTCTACCAGCCCAATCGAATCCCATTCCTGATTTCCGCATTACATTTTGCTCTTTTGAACTCTGTAAATAAGAAGCTGAATTATCGTTCTTATTATTTTTTACGTTGTGTGCTAAACTTGAGGGAAATGGTGAGTTTAAAGGTGACACAGAAATGGTGTTGTAAAACAGAGAAGGGCAATATGCCTCAGTTCGCCATGCTTCCTCCATCAGAGATTCACTCCCGAATGTACTTGTTTGTGTTCATACCAGATTCTTTTTGGCAAGACTTGTAGACCTTAGAAGAATGAGTGGAGATGCATGCAAAAATGCCCTTTCTACACTTCACGCAGATACGGGCTACGAACTCATGCGGTCGGTGTTTGGCAGTCTAGCAAGTCTGTCAACTTATGTGGCACTTGCGAATGCACCCGAATTCCCTCATATCCGAACACCCGCACGCAATCATCGCACACTGTGTTTATAACGATGGCATTTGTAGATCGCGATGTTGGTACTTAGGAATATTTTGGTGCAGTGGGCTACAGGTATGGGATATGGGCAGTTAGTTCGGGCTATTGTCATCGGCATAAATGAATCAAGCAAGCAAAGCAACCACTGGTCCTTCTGCCAAGTAGACTTGCCATGCCAACTTATCTCGGGATTTGGTGGTATTGGATCCGCAAGACGTGCAGACCAATCAAATAACTAACCAACCGGCAGATCACACGCACAGATTTGAGCACACTGTTCATTCGCAAATGATATGAAGACGGTGAGAAAAGGAGGCTACATGTGGCAATTCATTGATGCTGCTAGCGTTTGTGAAGGTGAATGAAGTGTGGTGTGGTTTTGGCTCATGTCAGTACAAAAATAGGTTACTTTCTGTAACACGGATATACATTTAGCTGCATAAATAAGTCCACAATTCACGAAGTGAACCTCGCAGCCAACTGTCAACGCAGTCCACACAACGCACATCACTGGAGTGGCAGCAGTTGTCGATTAAAGCAGAGCTCGTGTGTGTCCACAAACTTGAGAAAGTCCCGATTCGGCATTCTAACCCTTCCTTCGTTCAGCTGATACACGAAACCGCACAGCCGACAGTCCAATCTGAATGAATCCTGCAAGGAATTAATGCGTGCAATGCACTCACATAACACGAGTTAGGCGTTAACTTACTCGACATACAAATCTACCACCTAAACCAGGAAAATTCACACTTCTCTCACTAACACATCGCGTTTCAAACACCCAAATCGCATGTCTGTAAGCAAGGCTCCCACCGATTTATGCCACATTCCCACCACCAACCTACCTCGCAGCACAGATCATGTTGCCGGTTGTCGTGACCTCAATTAGGTTAACGAAACTGAGGCCTAATCCAATAACACGTCCTCTTAACCCCGTGCGCATGCATTCCTCCGCACCTTGACTTGAGCACTGAAATGGTCTGAGCTATACACGGAGCCAGAATAGCAGGCTCAAATCGATTAGTAGTGGCACAGCGCTTCATGTGGCTCCATTTTAAGCGTCTTACCACCACACGACCCACTAGCACGCGCTGGCACCCTTGGGAGGCATTTGGCCTAATCAACAATAATGCGTGTGTGTGTGTGTGTGGTTGTGGTGGGTGTGTCAATTTTCCAGTTTAACCATCGCAACAAACTGAGCCGTGGAGCGTAATGTAGCATGCAAAGAAACAACCCCAACTGACTCCACTTGACCAGCCCCGTGATGACCGTCTTGCATCTTGATGATGTCGGGTCATATGGCATTGCCTCTTTCTCTGTCACGTCACCTTCAAACTAATGACAGCCGCATTGTGCGTTCATCGTGTGTGAATTGCGGAGAAAACAGTTGTGCGAAGACAAATCTTACGTAGATTTTGCCGTGTTCCTTCCAGGCAAAGTACTCTGCGTAGGCGGTGTCATTTCTGTCCAGGTAGAGCAGGTAGTCAGTGAGCTGGCGAATCGTCTTGAAGTCATCCACGTTGATGAATGAATGGGGTGGAAGCGCATCATCGTAGTCTTCCTTGTAAGCTCCGAGGACAATGGGCACCATGCTGTAGCTGTGCAAGACATGCAGTCATTAATTTATGTCTGCAAGTGGTGCTACGCGTAATGCATTCTTTTATTCGCATCGAGATTCAATTATAGCACACTGCAAGTAGGTTGACCTTGTGCTTTTCTCCGCTTTAGCAGACGCACGCGTTTTACGCCTCTCCCTCCATTTGCTCTTAGAATACATTCAATCGCACCTTGTTGGATGTTTGAACGACGAAAGAATGCTTAGTCGGCTTTTGGCGGAAACATTTAGGGCCCTCTGTACGAAGTCATGTCTTGACCTAGCCTAGGGAGGTGGTTCCCTAATTTGTATTCTGCATTTGTGCCAGTGCGGTTTCCTGCTTTTCATGTAGGTCACTCTCTTGAACCAAACTAGTTACCCAAACACATCATTCAATTTGGTTTTTCCCTTTTATTGTACATTTATTTGTGTTAGGCCGCCCAAACTGTTTTAGATCGCATGAATTTATTTCAAAAATAAATAGATATTTTATTACCTAAAAGAGTCGACAATCCCTTTATTGTTGCTGATCCAATGCCGCCAACTTTTGGTTTCAGTTAACATTTCAGAGGAAAATCTAACACTGTAGATTTCGTAGGATTTGTCTTTTCTTAAGCAGTCTCGTATATATAAACGAACTGTGTGGGTTGTGCATACGAATCTAACATGTTCGCATTCAGTTACTGTTACTGTGACTTCGATCGAATGAATACAATTACAAAACGTAGCAATCTTTTTGATGGACAAAGAGATCAGAAAACAATCAGTGGTTCGGTGGTCATTTCTTCTAGAATAACAAATGCCCGACTTTTTCCTTAATGCTTCTGTATATTTGGGAATGTTTAATGAGACCTATTTGAGCAAAAACCTGAGGGTTGTGCCTTCTCAGGGAGACGAGATGAGAACGTTTAATATGACAAGCTGTTTTCCCCTCAAAGCATTATAAAGACTTTCAAGTACATGCCGCTTGGGCTGCATTAAATTAGCGAAACTCATCACTTCATCCTACGAACGATTAGCTCTAGTTTTAGTAAACACCGGCCCAACTGTTAGACACATTTGGAATAATTGATGAGATGATGAGATTAGCCAATCAAACTGCCTGAGTCATGATTGGCGGATTTAGGCAAACGTATATAAAACACTGTGTGACATGAGACAACATTTAATGGAATAAAATGCACAGACTTAAATGTCCCTCACCATACATTACTATTATCGTGATTTCTATTACGCTAGTACTGGGGTGGCATACGCTAAGAAGTCAAAAATATCCCACTAATAGCAAACTCTTGGGGATACCTACTAAATTAGTTGGGAGCGATCGAATCGCCTATCATCATGTCATTGATCAAATGCAATGGACATCGGAATTCGCAACTGATAAGGTAAGCCAAAAAAGCAATTTTAATTTCTTGCTTACTCTTTATTCACTGAAATGTCCAAAAATATGCTGAAAGAATTCCAATGAAATGTAGTAATCTGGGTTATGCGGAACCAGTTTAATTTGCCATTTTTGTCCCAAGATACTTAAGTTCCACATTAATCCGTCATAAAAGCATCCATTTGCTTCACAGAGTGATTTATCGACTGGTAAGGCACCAGTGATCTATTACGATCGAAAACTACTGTATCACCCCACAGATCCGGCTGGGTGTCGCTACAAGTGCGTATTCAATAATGATACAGAACAACTGGGCAAGGGTGATGCTGTGGTCTATTCTGACAAGTTTTCTCCGGAGGAGGCACAGCTGCTCAAACAGAAAGGAGTTTTGATCGTGTTCGAATCAGGCGAAAGTCCCTTTCATGTACCGTTCCTAGATCGAGCGCAGTTAAAGCTGGTAAGCACTTTGTGCTTTATTTTGAATAACGACTAATTTGCTTTTTTTCGGAAAGAATTGAACCCTTTGTCAAGGTTTTTTAAGACTTCACTCCAAAAAAACAGCTTAAAATGATTCTAATTCCCAAGTCGATTAAAACTTGTTGTTTCACATGGCGAACTCGTACCTTCAGGAATGTTGTTGTGAAATTAGATTATATTCACTGAACCTCTATGCTATCTTAATATCGCTGAATCTACTTAAAATGCATTCTGGAAGTTCCTAATATCAAAAAGATTAATATGAACAGCAAAATTTAAAATGAAATTCAGACAGGAACATGCACCAAAACAGGTTTTACTAAAATGAAATCCTGGATGGAACCTGGAGGGTGGGAAGTGATGTCGTGCCTTGCATTTAAAATGGAAATTCGCATTTTTTCACATTAAATAGATTGACCTATTTAACACATATCTGGCTGACTCATCAGTACCGTATATGTATCCAATGTTCTTCCGGAACACAAAGCCCAAACTCAAATTCACAGACGAAGAGAAAGCCGCGATGTTGGCAAAAAACAAAGTGTACCTTCTGCCTTCCTATCACAAGGAGAGGACAAAATTAATCGCATGGGTGGTTTCTAACACTCAACCGAAAAACATCAGGGCTGAATTTGCAGCTGGGATTTCAGAATTCATTATCGTGAGTTACTACTTATATTGCATATTAAAATAAAATCATAGCTTTTCAATTTGTGGGAAAAAATCTATTTAAAGAAATCCCAAACGTAAAATACGCACAAGCTGATGGTATATCATACGCTGTAAAAAGTGATTTGTTTTGACCGGTTAATGATTGTCGCGTGTTATCGCCATGCAGCATCAAACTAATTCGAGGCAAAAAGGTCAAATCACCACAACTTACAAAATATGAGGTTGAATACCAGAGGTGACATGTCTTCTTCGCCGTAAGATTAAAGATGCACTTTCTGAGGCCCTCCACAACTAAAATCACCCTTCTACCATTTGCTGCTACGAATCAACCTTCAGGTACACAGCCCACATAGCATTGAAATAAAAAAACAAATACGAGGCCTTAGAAAATGAGAAATATAAGCAATATAGGCAATAGGTGTTGACGGGTACCTGGGTTATAAGCAGTTATGCCTTAAGCCAATTTGAACTCGATTTCAAGAATGTTAGCTACACGTTTTTATGTCTAAACATCATCTGTGTCGGTCAAATTGACGGCGATAATCATTGAATCGATGAGCAAAAGATCAACAAACCACGCGGGGATTATTGAGCTTCTTTTAAAGATCTTGTTTTTAAAGTACAAATAATCCAGCGACATAAAATGCCAGTAAAGTTATTGAAAAGATGGTAACAATACACAAATAACTCCAGATTTGGTCTGATATTTAAAAAATGACTTGATATTCCTCAAGATTACGAAAGCATTTGAGACTTGTGAAACTCTTGGCAAACTTGGGTAAGAACTTTAAAGATTCGCCTTAACAATGGACTTGGGCGTTCCAAGACATGTTGCAAGCTAATAATTCATTAATTTGTACCTTTTCTAAACCAAGTTTTAATAAGTTTCTCGACATTTTGGTAAATCACCACATTCCGTGTGACATACTGACACTAAGGTTTAAAAATACGCATTGTAGCTGGTAGTGCTTGTGAAAATGTTTTGTTTTTAATTTTTTTAACATTTGTGATGAAAGGAGGCTACCAAAACGTGTTTATTCTTTTCGTTCAGTTAATAAAATCCACACGGACCAATACAGGTCTACCGTTGCAATTCAGCAACTTAAAGTACCATTCACGACATTGAAAAATGGTGATAATGATCATACCACTCCAGATTTGATATGATATTTAATGAATTATCTGACATTCCAGAAAATTAAGAAATCATTTGCGACTTGTGACAGGTCTAATTTTCCAATAGTTCAACGATCTAGTGTCCGGAGCAAGCTCCATCAAAGAAAATCAGATTTAATGGATAATAATACCGACAGTCATTGATCAGGAACACTGCTCACTGTTGCAACGCTCCTAGCGAGTGAGGATTTAAATATGTAGATAACTGCTAGCCCGCCCTTATTAGATAGCCACACCATCATGGTTAGCTACCAGGCATACGATAGAAGAATAACAGGAAGAGCCGGATGTACTCCAGACTATCGCATACAAATTCAGAGGGTCAGGACTTAAAGGGAGTTAGAGCTCGTGGAGGAAAGGGATGGCCGTGAGCAGGGTCGGCGTTGCCCCCAGACTCACGGGAGTGCCTTGAGAAAGGCGAGAGTGCGGGAGGGAAGAGGAGGACAATGATCAGGCCGGACCGGCGTGCATGGGCCAAATGGCGCAGGTTACACTGTTTATTTTTAAATTCGGCTGACTTTAAGGCCACATTGTAAATTTTCTTTAATGAAAAAATTTAAAAATGTAATCTACAAGTGGTTGGATGAGTAAATACGCCAACATCCTTAAAGGTAAGGCTAGGTTGGCGTAATTTAGTTAATCTCTGAGAATGGACGATGGAGAGTGAAACTCACAAACCAAAGCAGATATTCAGAGTATTAAATTATGCTGCTTTTATTCAGATAGAAAAATAACTGATTGTTTGGATTTTGAATTTTCCGACTAATGATGAGTTCTTTTACTATTTGATTCAGGTAGACATTTATGGCAGAGGAGGCACTGAATTCCCACCCGAGCTTGATGCATTTCAATGGCTCTCCGAGAATTACAAATTCTATTTGGCTTTTGAGAATTCCAATTGCAGAAATTACATAACGGAGAAAGCTACAGTCAATGCTCTGAAGTACGTCAAGCTGAGTTCCATTACACGTAATCCCTTAACAGCAATATTTTTTTCAATCGAGTCATAAGTCAAACACTCAAAAGTGTTTCCACAATTTGCTGTTAGCAGATTTCCAGACCTCCGCCGTTTTCAGAAAGAATCAAGAAAAGTTTACTACTATTGAAGGGTTAAGGCTAAGAGAACGCAATAATTAATAATTTAATCGCTTACGTGTTTCGAGTCCGTCGTTTACGCATTCTACAACCGAAAATAGCTAGGTGATGACTGACTGTTGAAGCGACACACAACGTTCTCATCTCGTCTCCCAGAGAAGGCACAACCCTCAGGTTTTTGCTCAAATAGGTC